TACTATGGGTATGTACACTGTCTTTATTCATTCAACATTTACATTGTCTTTTAACATGTCGTTTTCATCGTATCATTATACATTTCTCTTATTTTCGCTTGTCATTACATTTTCGTTCTTTATTATTCGCATATCATATCTTTTTTATCTCCCCGGTCACGCAGGACCGGTTATCGAGAGCTCGTCACAATTCTTTATTTTTCAATCGCTTTTTTATTTTTCTTTTCATCTTAAAAACTAAATCTTTATCCTAAGTCGGTTTCGTGAATTCGATACCCGGCAAAAACCATCAGAAAAAATCTGAGTACCCCGACCGGGAATCGAACCCACGACCCCTTGAGCTGTATTGTTTCGGTGGCTAGCATGCTAACCACTGAGCCAACGACAAGCTCATTATATATGTATATATGTACAAGTATTTTTGCCACATGATTGTTTAACAACAGTAAAGCTGTGTATACATCGCCTACCTCTTTCTTGCGGCCAGTGCACGTGTGTACTTTAGCATCATATATACATATGTATTTACCGACGGTTAATTTTACTACGGGTTATTATTATTATTATTATTATTTTATTTTTTTTTTTTTTAAGGTATGTAGCTATATCTTACTTGAGATGTCCACACAACTGAATATATTTTCCATTTCGATATACATTTTAATGTACCTTGTGCCCTCTTTGCTCGTTCGCTGTCATACGATCCAACTGATTTAATCGCCAATACATATCGCGAGGGCAAAAAAAAATAAAATTCCTTCACCCCACAGTCTAACTGTCCTTCGGAGAATTTCGGTAATAAATAATTAGCGCGTCTGAAATTAATAACATGACCCCAACTTCGAGATGGCGTTTCTTAATTAAAATTATTGTTCGCTCATTCATATATGAGTAGGAATGATAAAAACTTGTTCTTGCTGCTGCTCGTATCTTGAAATTTAATGTGCTAATATTTTTGATTAGGTTACTTTTCAATAAAAAATTGTATTAAAAAAACGAAAAATGAGAAACTTTTTTATTTCATTAAATATTTTTGAACTGGAAATGGGGGGCTGGCGCGCGGAGCGCGAAAGGGGGNTCATGTTTTTGTTTCTCCTCTTGTACAACGTATATTACAATTATTTAATCATCATAAATATTAATATGTTCTTAAAAACGTTAATAACACGGCGATCCATCGCTCAAACGAATCAGTCGTCTATTTTATTATTCACTTTAAATAATATCTTTCGCGTGTACATATATATATATATGTACGGTATGCACATAAAAGTCTCGTCGTCGAGGTAACAGTTACGCGCGGCAGCAAACCACACCATCCAATATCTTCATTGGAGCAGCGAGTAGTCGTTAATTCTGCTTGTGAGCGCGAGCCCTCTCGAAAAGGGACGAAAACAACAAAGACTGCTGCTGCTGTAGGTACCCGTATAATCTCGAGAAGAGCTTGCAATGCCCGAAAGTTGAGCGTTCATTTGCCGCTCTTGATGCAAGAAGCTGTACTTATACTTATGTGCTTGGTGGGTAAATAACAGTGCAATGCGTGAAACGACAGAGAAATTGCTCGTTGCGTTGTACTTACAACTCTTACCTTGGGAGCCGCCTCGGAGACGCGATAATATTTCATTCGTGAGAGAGTATCGTTTAACCAAGCATGATTTGTTATACCAGCAGACGCATGCCGCCACCATGTTTATCTTACCTACTTGCCTGCGTTCGATGATGTGCTACTATACTGCCACTGACGTTGTGCCACAGTGCCACCACTGCCCACTGCCTATACCTACATACAACATGCAGGGCTACTTTATGTTGTTGGTAGTGCTACTATACTTGTTCATTAAAAATTTAAAGACAAAAACAAACGTCACGTGTAACTATTTCTTTAAAAATTTAGGTCGGAATAGTAAACGGAGAAACTCTGTTTTTTTAGAGCAGCCTTTCTTGATATACGTATTTTTTTTTTGAAAGCTTCAAATTATTTACAATCTTGCGGAAATTAGGGTTTGTTAGTATAACCCATTTTGTGTACTTACCTATGGAGCACATATTATATTCAAGGAACAGTAGCTCTTATATGATGACTGTTATCGAAGTTCGGTCGCAGAATCAATAAGAATTATTAAAACACTGTTTCTAGCAGAAAGAAGCTCCATGCACTTTTCGAAGATTAAATTAAAGCGGTAGACCAAAATTTTACCTCTCTGGGAGCTCAAATAAAACCTTGCTTCAAGTGTTTTCGACTTTGACTTTTCAAGTCAATTTTTGGAAGCTTTATCCAAATCATTCTATTTGTATGATCAAATTGTTATTTTTGAGAAAAAAAAAATTAATTAAAACAATGCTTTGATTTCATGTTTAATATAAAATAAAAGTGGATGGGGAAAAAAGCGCACCAGACAAAAAAGTAAAAAAGTTGCAATTGAAGCACAATTATCAATGAACAAAATAAAAAAGGAAGACAAAAAGAGAAGAAAGCTCGTTGTGGCAGAAATGGGGTTTCTATGCGGCATTTGCCTTGACATTAAACCACGCAATGCCCTTGGAAATCCCAAAAATGTCCAACACAACAACGACCGAGATACACACCTAATATTATATTTATTTATGGCAGGTGGAGCAGTCAAAGCAGCAAAATACCATTATCTGTATGTATTTACCTAAGATTTGAACTACCTCAATTCACTAATTTTGCGATGAACTTATTGAATCAGTGCCTGTATAATAAATACTACCCTAATAAGTAAAAAACCATGGGGTCAGCACAATAAGTGTTTATTTTCTGTAAAGTTATTCAACACATATGTATGAGAAAACACAGGAATGACTCAACAACTTACCAAATTGACAAATTGACCAAGATTGAACACGTGCCGGTTGATCAAGCCGGTGCTTCTGGGTGTGGTGTTTACATTGTCCCTGTTGTCGTTGCCACTGCCTGAAGCTGCTGGTGCATCAATGCCACCACCGTACCATCCCATCCGCATATTCATTGCCATTGTGTATATATATATATATAAGTCAAGTTTCAGTCATTGAATCCGAACACGTAGGTACAATTACTTACGATATAACCCTCTCATAAACGGACTAATCACGACACGCTTTATAAACAACAGTAGATATCCCACAAACCGCTCTGATTTGAATCACTTTGGTCAATATGCAATTGATACAGTACATAAGTATGTAATCTAAGAGCTATCACAAACTTTATAACAAGAGATATCACATTTTGCTCTGATAATACTTGAAAAAAATTGTTTACACGTTCTTCTAATTGTACAAATTCTATATTATCTTCCTTTACTTAGTTCACGTGAATTTAATAATGTAATCATTTACAAGAGTGTAGGATGGTCGATGGTGTATAGGTTATGTTACCTTATGTAAACACTCACAACACACTGTTATTCAACAATGTGCTCATTCTCTTCACACAATAACGACACAGATAAATAGACAAATTGTTTTTAAACAGTTGTAACGGACGAACAACAGATAACACGAGAAAACGACACCAACGGAATCGGTCGGCGAGCGCGGCAACTGCGGCGACCGCGTCAAGAACACCATTCGCTCCGAGCCGATGCAGAGGTTGCGCCCCCTCTAGCCAAAATAAGGCAAAATTTCTTGCATGTAAACAAACGGTTTAGAACATATATACATACGTACAGCTGCTTGTGATTGGCACTTGGCAAGCTAGAGAGAGAACGACGATCCTCTCCTGCTGTCTTATTCAGCCAATCACAAGCAGCTATACGCATGTATATATGTTCTAAACCGTTTGTTTACATGCAAGAAATTTTGCCTAGGGGGCGCAACCTCTGTATCGGCTCGGAGCGAATACCTATACTTGAGCTTTCACTAAGGCTGCGTATAAGTACATGGAATCTTGAACTTCCAGGACTAGCCCATATGCCCGTGTAAGTACGAGAAAATAGGTATGTTACTGCTTCTCCTCGCGTTCTCACTCGCACTCACACGGGCAAATATATATGGCTGGTCCTTCCTGGAAGTTCAAGACTCCGTATGCAGTACTTATCCAAAATTGTTGATCTTGTAAAGATCAATGTTGCTTTGTTTCCAAACAATGGCAATGGAAAACAAATTTCTCCCTCTTCGTGGCATCTTAGGGTATTTGTATGTAACCGGCTAGGCAGCCTTATCAAGTAAACAAACCCACGGCCTTCGATAGTACTTACCTACCTATACCCTACCATGATAAAATGCGTCTAGTGTGTCACACATTTAGGCTGCGTTTAGATGGAGTCTGGGAGTCTGCCAGACTGGAATTGAAACTCATGTGAGTGAGAGAGAGGTTGACCACATTCTAACCTGTCTCTCACTCTTATAAGCTTCATTGCCAGTCTGGCGGACTCTCAGACTCCATATATATATTATATCTAAACGCAGCCTGACTGCGTGACTGTCCATACCTATCTGAAAAATAGGTGATGGCGCCAACCTTACGTAATGTGTATAGGTCATAGGTAAATTCTTTCAAAAGTATAGGTACCTACCAACTAATAAGTACTCTGGCTTTTTAGCGAGAATTTTTTATTGTGTATTGTTAAATTATTACTACGTATTACGTGGAATACTTTATCTGCTTGTGTATAAACAATCATGGTTTTTTTTCATTGTACGATTTTTATAAAGAGCACCACCTGACATTATCACAAGCGTTTCATCATAGAAACTGTGGTACACACATTCTATGTACGTAAGTAAATACACGAGATGGATAACCAATTTCTTCTGCAATTATAATAAATATTTTCACAGCGCTTTGTTTTCAAAAATTTGCATTTTTCGTTAATTTGTTACAACAGTAACTTTGTAAAAATGTGCATGATTTTACATGATTCATTGTCTTTGTAGTTAAAAATATATTTTGAGACCGATTGAATAAGTAGGTAAGTAAGTCAAAACATCAATGTTTTTTCAAGTTGGGTACTTGCATTTATTTATTTTTCACTCAACATTTGAAAAATTACATAATTATAATTTTTTGATCTAAAAAGAATGGTGATGAAATATGAATAATGTATGAATTGAAAAATTTTAATTTAATCGTAGTAAGATGAGATTGGTTATTTTATTTTTATTTTAACTGTCATTGTCAAATTAATTTTGAAGAATCACATTTTGCGACTTGTTATAAATTTTTTTGGATTGCCACAATAAGTATCTCACATGTGAGGAATCCCAAAAGAAATAATTTTTTGCTTTCCTTAATTCTTGGGACTTGGACTGTGACGTATTGCGATTACTTTACGTCCACGTTTCATTTTCGGCAAACGACTTGCGACCGCCGTCATTTTTGTTTTGCAACAATTCTGTCTCTGAAGTAGCTTGGATGCGATTTCGCTTTCGTCTCCGTTTACCTGTGCACACAACGAGATTAACATTTGTAATTCATTATACAATTATAAGTTTAATAAAAAGTAAAATATTTAAATATTTACAGCACGTAAATGTCAATTTGTTGTCTCACAATGTATTTATATCACGTATTAAAAATTATTTGTATATTTATTTTACTACTTCATTTTTATTGCTAGTAACAGTTTAAAAATTATGTCATTACCAGCCTCCAAATATAAGTTTTCTATTCACTACTTTTGAGATGAGTAGGTATTTAAATTTAGCAAATAAATTATACATGACGATCTGAAACTGTTATCACGACGCGCGAAAATTTTTTTTTTAGTAATTTGTATGTTCAGTAAAATAGCGGTCATTACAATAACAGATAAAAAGAAAAATAACCAAATATGAATAAAATTGTGATATTGACGAATTTTTTAGGATGTTGAAAATGTATGTTTGGAAAAAAAAAAAAAAAATATTTACTCAAAGAGATCGATTCGAAAAATAAAATTTACAGGTGTGAAGAATTTTTTTTTCATTTTTCATATATATTGTGAAAAATAATTCTCTTCTTACGTACTAGGCGAAGTGTTGAAAAAATGTATATACACTCACGTACAATTAAAATGGTCTAACATTTTTGAAACATGTATTATAAAATTATTTTAAAATGCAATACATAGAGCACACGTTTGTTAAAAATGGTTATTTACATCGTTACACTTAATGTTCAATAAAATGATAGAACTCAATTAAATATAATTTATTACATAACAGCACATTAATTTTTTTTTTTTGATCCGTAATTTCATGTATAAGGTACAGTGTTGTAAGAATACACTTACGCAATTGACTATGTGCCTATATAATTCGAATAAACTTTGAAATAGGCTCTACACTCGGAAAATAAATCGATCAATCGTACCAAAAAGGTTTTTTTTTTTTTTTTNTTTTTGTACCTCGAAAAAAATGATTTATTCGCTTACAACCTCTTACAAATACTCTGTATGTACTAATGATTGAACAAAAAAAAAAAAAAAAGTCGAGCTGGTGATGTTGGCTCGAATTATAAACGTATACGTAATGATACAAATATTATGATCCTGTCTTTGTATAATCATGATGAATGAATACGCTTAGATTATAGCTTCTACAATATAAATATACACATGGACATTAGAATGACAGAGGATGTGCACTTTGGTCCACCCACCTTTTCCTCGATTGTTCCAGCTATACTTATCTTCGTACATATACCGCACGTGCATGTGCCGATACTTCCGATTGTAACACGTATCTATACTAAGTAAGTACACTCTTTGACTTAAAAAAAATGATTGACTATTTGAATGTACCTATACATTACATAAATACGCGTGGACGGGATGAAAAATAAATGTCCCTTGCCGTCAACCGAACGATCAAACGCGTGGGCATGAACGTCCTCACGTGTGAGTTTTATGGGTATACCTATTACATACCGGCCAATTGGATTTTCTTGACGTATACATGATGTATGCGCATACGCGCGTATTAAAAGTCATTGCTCGATTCCCGCGTATATCCTGCGGGCTGTTGATCTGTACACGCGGGTAGACAACGTTGTTACTAGCGCAAATTATATAATTGCCGTCTGTCCGCGACAATTACGCGGCCATCTTCCAATTTCCACGAGTAAGAGGACAAAAAACATATGACTGAGAGGAGTATAAAAAAAAAAAAACTTTAAAACAGAGTTGCAACCGTGTACAAGTCGAACGGACGGAAGGAGGCGAATCGGTAAGGTGCATTCCACGACTGCAGTGTGATACTTGATTTGCAATATTCCTTGCAATGTAGACAGGCTGGAGTCGTTCTTTAGAATATGTGACGTGTGTCTTTACAGGATCGGTCGTAATTTGTAAGTGTTTTTTTTTTTTTTTCTTTCTCGCTAATTCATTCATCGGTTCATTTACGATCAAACGAGCGAGTTGGAGCAACAGAGCTTAACATTAGTTTACATTATAGCTCCGTTACTTCAAAGTATCAAAGGGATTATTATGATAATTTTTAAAGCTGCTCGGCACGTATGTGGGGAGGGGGCAGGTATTCGAAGCTTCATTTCCTCATCTTCGTCAAGTGTAAAGCGATGATGGCACGACGCGCAGTTATGTAGCAAGTACACACTTCACACATGTGGAAAAGTTGCGTTCACGGCTGCTGGCACTATTTCTTCCAGATTTCTCGGAAATCCAAGTCCAAGTCAGATATATACGTATGCTTTTTTACCCTCCATGTGTATATACATCGAATCGCGGTTGCAGCTGTTGCAGCAACGCATTCCAGCTCAAAGTGCGCCGTGACGCTTTTTGCTCGACCGCGAGCGGTTGCGCGTTCCTCCGCTCTTCTCGTCCATCCATTTGCCATACCAACTGCTGCAGCTGTGATTGAAAAAAAAAAAAAAAAAAAAAAAAAAAAAAAAAAAAAAAAAAAATACATTAAGTGGATGAATATAAACTTTGTGAACAAAAAAAGTTCAGCTATTGCATCGATGGAATCTATCAACCAATGATTATTCAACGAGAAGTAGATGTACAAAGAAAACTTTTGGGGTGTATCAAATACTCGATGGTGCGTAATGATTATCCAGAAAAGAAAAAACAATGTAAAATACGCTGAAGTATTGATGATGGGTGCGAAGTCATTGAGCAGGCGGACTCTGCATATGCCTCTTGGAGACGATCAACGACATCGGCAAGGGAGCCGCGGTGTTGAAAATATCGGTGTACATATACGCATAAAGGGAGGGGGCGTTGAAGGATCGGCAAAACTCCAGACTTAGGACAAGGTAAAAAAGTAAATGAGCACGAAGAGGCCGGCAAACTGCAGGAGGCGCGGAAAGGTGAACCAGCTAGCGACACTCGCCGGCCGGGCCCGCGCGGCCGACCTCCTCGAGCCGTTATCGCTCGGCTGGTGTTGTTTTTTACGCTGAAGCACGGCCTGATGGATTTTGGCGGTGGTTTTCTTGGGGCTGCGCGTGATTGCCTGGCACGCAACGGCAGCAGTGTCCCCGGCGTGGTTGTCGTCGTCGTCACCGTCGTCGTTACTGTCGTTACTGAGGATTTCGTAGCGAGTGCCCGCTGGTATTTTCACAGCGCCACGGCCCAACTTGATCGGCGTCTGCGCCCCGGCGAGGCTCGATGTCTTGGGGCGCGCCTTGCGCACGACATTAAACTTCTCCTCGAGGCGCGGCATCGTCAAACTCGGCTGCCCTTCCGCAACTGCTTTGTCGTTGTCGTCGTCATTGTCGTCGTAGTCGCCGTAGTCGCAGTCATTGTCCCCGCAGCGAGCCCCGAGTTTCGAATGGTCATTACCTGATGCCACCTCCCAGCCGTTCTCATCCCGACTCGGCGATGCCCCGGTGGAATCGCTAGCCGCTGGCTCTCCCTTTGCCGTTGCCGCCGCCACGGCTGTCGTCGACGTCGAGTCGCACCGATCCTCCTTCACCGGTGGGCTGTCTCTCCTGCAATGAAAAACAATTTACTTGAAATCATTACAAGATTTCGTACATTTTTTCCCAGTTCCCAAACTTTATAATTCCCTCGCTACAATGAATAAGTAGATCCAGAAATCAACATGTTCGTTGGATTCACCCGCTTGGGCGAAAACAAACAAACGGCAATGTTTTATCAGAAATAGTTGTTGTTGTTGTTGTTGTTGTTGTTGTTTTGATAAAACACGACTGTGAACATGCAAAATGAAGCAATTGACGACATGAAAATGTTCAGCGACGAGTAAAATGATAAAACCGTATATCAACGGACTGTACGCGACGACCGATGAACTTTGGGCGCATAGAGGTTGAATCGGCAGATTAACCGGACAATGGTGTTATGTGTTGTGTACGCATACGGGTACCGATCGAATACTCAATTGAAACCTCATTTCCGAATAGACGGGCCACGCAGTGTCGAGCAGGTGGCTAATATAATGTTTCAACCGCCGATATTGATTAAAAGCATCCTTTTTTCTTTTTTTCCGGTCCGTATACTTGATGGAGCTAATGAGTTTGGAAATGTTTTATATAGACCGACGTCGCGTATACTAATGTATGTACATATTATTTATCCGAAAGCCACATATATTATATCGCGATAGTACCTGCTCACCACGTAACGATCACGCCGTAGGTACCTATGAGAATTATTTAAAGGGTACATTACGGAAAGAGATCAATGTTCGATCAATTTTTTTGTATTTTATCAAGCAAAATGGTAAAATCGTTTGTTCTTCGGTACCTATTAAACAACAAATCCCCCCCCCTCCCTAATGGCTATCGCAAGCGGCAAAAAGGGCGGGGCTTGGCTGAGTTATATCCCCCAATTATACCTACTATGGTCTATATATATAGATTTGCTTTACCTGTGCGCGGCTCATATACGGGTATACTTGTGAAGCGGGGAAGTGGAGGAGGAAGCAAGAGAGAGAAGCGAGGGGGGGGGATCACTTGGGTATACAGTTCGTTATATTCAGCTAAGACAACAACGGAGCAAAGTGCATTCTTAAATTATCTTGTGATCGGCGTGCGCTGCTGCTGCTGCTGCTACTGCTGTTACGGAAAAATCGGCGCAACCGGGCTCGTGCCGTACAATACGCCTACTTGTGTACGTTATGGCATTGGAGCTGCCGAGCTCGCGTGCACGGGTCATTAGTCACGAGCACCTGGAGTACCGAAAAAAGAGCCACACCATCGCCAGAGCCACAATATTATTATACCTATACTTGTATGTACTTACTTACTATTTAAGAAGAGCCAAGAGAGTGTCAACCAAATATTTTTTCATCACCACTCCACTGACCATTCACGGAGTAAGTAGGTATACCATGTACACCCAAGGCACTTTATATTTGTCAGAACGATGAAAAATTACCTGTTAAGTGACAGTAGGTCTTTGTTATATTATAGGTTACAGGACATCATTGACCGTATGTAGACCAATCGTTCCGACAGATATAAAGTGCCTTGAGTGTACACAGGTATTATGATATCGAGAAAATAACAGAAAAATTATGGTGATTGCAGACTGATTTATACAAGTGTGTAAGTATGTATATATCAGTGTATATATATATACAATACTCCCGAATAATGTATATACAGCCAATAGTTGCAAACAAGCAGTACTGATATATACATACTTACACACTTGTGTATATATATATGCACACATAATACCGATATTATACATATGCATACGAATGAAATGTAAAGTTTATACTCTTCAAAATACAATTAAATTTTTGAGTGTGTAATATAATATAACCGATTCATTCGGCACATCGTCAAGGGAATACTGCACATTAATTTTATTACAGCAAGACTGCATCGCCAGCTTCGGTATACCTACATATCGAGTCGATACGAGCTCGGCGTTCCGGTGGCCATTTAATGTCGTTCCTTTCATTTGCAATTAAAATTATAATCGATGTGGATGAACGCCTTCGGACAAGCTATCTCAAAGATTACGTATTAATTAAAAAAAAAAAAGCTGTAACTTTTGATTAAATTGATACAATCTATTATTCGGTCACGGGCAATCGGTATATTTAGGTATAAAATTTTTATAAGCTGTGAAAGTTATGACGAAAAACGAGGTTTCCTTCAATTTCAAGTCATGATGATTTTACAAATATTTATAACAAAGATAGCAAAGTGACGTATTCCGTTGAAACCTGCCAAGATATTTGTGTTTACAACATTTTCGCTATATTTTTAATGTTTTCTGTCGTTTGAATGATGGAAATTCCATCCTTATACATGAAATTCAAAATTAGTTTGAAAATTATTTTCTAAAAAAATTGTGTTTACGTTTATTTACGATTATTCCTCTAAATAATAAAATATCGACTTTAAATTAAAAGGAATTATTGCTCTTACTCTGGAATTCCAATTAATTTCATATATTTTTTTTCGATAATTACATTAAATTTTCATTAAATATTATTTATCATTGTATATTATATAGGTATAGAGAGATATATTTAATGTCACTGAGTGACATATTTTGTAAATACTTACCTCACCATAACTCATGCACATTTTATATTGTACCTAGTTTAAGTATACATAACTGTTTGTCCATCATATTCATTAATGTATAACAATTTTCCCAAAAGTAAAAGAAAAAGCTAGCAAGCTCGATAAAAATGATCAAAAATTTAAAAAAATTGATTATTTCGATATTGAGGTGACACAGCTGCAAAGGGAATGAAAAATCTCGAATGATCGATTCAAGGGAAGTCGAAGGAAAAAATAAGCGTACCTAATAATAAAAAATAAAAAAAAATAAAAAAAAGAGAGAGAGAGAGGGATGATAAAAACAAAGGTGCATTCATAGGCAAATAATAATGAGAACAAAGAGTCTGATATGCATATAGTATCGGGTATATATAGAGTGTGTACCTTGTACGTATAGTTTTATGAACGTATGTATACACCAGATTCACGCGCACACGTATATATATATATATGTATATATATATGTTGTATGGAGAGCGGCAGAAGAAGAGGAGGAGGCAAAAAGAATGTAGTATTAAGTACATAAATCTATCTCGAGAATTTCTGATTCAAGTCCAGTGAGGCAGGCGCTCTCTCCAGAGTACTATATTATTATGTACTTGTGGCGATATGAGACCAACGCATGTACCTACGTAGGTATTGTACCTATACAGCTCAATGTACCTACACGTACTGTATAACGCGGGGTTTAATAGGTGAGGAAGTGCATAATATAGTACCTCTCTCGGGAGCTCCTTCTTTATCCTCTGCAACCGGTTTTGCGCTTGTACGCGAGCCATACCCACAGGACCAAAGTAAATTATATCTACATCCTTACGCGTGACACTTACTTTTGCAATATCATGCCTACACGCGCGTGTGCTCGTACCTACGTTTGTATTTATACATTTGTAATAAAGTTGTCAAGACTCTGAACTCCCTCCACCCATCTTCAATGATGCATTTACGAAATTCGTATGAACATTTATTATAGGTACCGAGATTCCGAGTGTGTATAATATATTCTATGGTAATTATTGTGAATCAAAGCGGAAGAAAAGCAAGGTTTTTTTCTTTTTTTTTTTTTTTTTTTTTTTTTTTTTTTTTTTTTACCCAATCGAGTAAAATCACTGGAAATGTGAAAAACGGAACTCGATTGGCGCGTGACAAAATTGTTGAATACACGTCCAACCGAGAGACCGATTACTCCAAGGGAATATTGTTAGGTAGGTACATACAGGTACACATGTACATATTATACTTGTCGCCGCCTCCTCGATTGGATCACGCACTTTTTTAAAGATTGATTTTCCCCGCCCGTGGTGTCGTAGATTGAAAAATCAATTGGTTAAAAAGGTATTCAAATACGGTTTTTTTTTTCCTTCTTTTTTTATTATAAGAAATTTTTTTTTTTTTTTAATTGAAAAATCAGGCACTATTATAGTACTCGAGTTTTCACAAGTGGGCCAAGTTAATGAATCGATCGTCAATATGTTTATCGATTTTGAATTTATCAAGCACGACGATGAAACAATAAAAAAAAAAAAAAAAGTGTAGTGCTGTAAAGTCATGACGCATTAACTTTTGGGCGTTCTCGTGCTCTTTTATTTTCCAATGGTGCATCGTGCACGGTCCCTCTCTTGCGGAGTATTTCAGCTGATCAACGTGATTTTTTTCATAAAATTGCGTCATCGTGGATTTTGGGCGTGACGCATACAAGATATACAAGACACGCACGAGTGCTAAATTGAACAAGTTTTTCCCACCGTCGCCCCACGAGTAGACACTTTTTTCTCATTTTACTCCAACTCCATTACCTTTTGATCATATCTGCTCCAGGTACAGAAGCAGATCTTTTTGCGCAGGCAGTTTAAACTAGGTATAGGTTGATTGCATCGTTCCTTTTTTTTCTTTTTTTTCTTTTTTTTTTTTTTTTTTTTTTTTTTTTTTTTTTTTTTTTTTTTTTTTTTTTTTTTTTTTTTCAATACTGTTAAAAAGTTTATTCGTACGAGACTCTTCGTCATAATATAAATTTCATAATTCAACATCTTTTTCAATACTACACATTCATAAATTTCTTTAAAAAAAATGTTGATATAAATATATCACAATTAAATTTTCACATATACATACGTATATGTGTAAGTGTGTGAGAGTGTGAGTGTGTAAAAATCGACAAAAAAGGCACTAAAATATCTATACATATGTATATTAGGTACAGATACGTATGTAGTAAATATTTTACATTTGTTCTTGTACAAAATACTGAATGAAGTTTAATAATATAAAATTAACAGATAAGGCACCAGGCGTGTACTTGATTTGTAAAAAAGTGTACAAACGAGTAAGTATCGACAAAGCGTACAATACATATACACGTATACAGTATAGGTATAATATAATTGTGTGTCGTTATTTACGTCGATGCTGGGTTACGCGTGCTTATCCGCAAATATAACTTATACCACATATCCACGTGAGCTACAGTCACGTAAATGCGTACACATAAGGTATATATATTTATTTACATTCTCTCGTATGATGCTCTACAATGAGTTTAATGCTTTAGTGCCCAAACCATCATCATCATCGAAACGATTCACTTGGCACACAATAGGTATATCGGTCATGAAAAAAAAAAAAAAAAAAAAAAAAAAAGGAGAAAAGTAAAGAAATTAAGAGCTGCGCACGCGACGGCCTTTACAAAATTAATAAGTAGCATGCAACGAGATATTACACAGCCACATGTATGTAAATATAATGATGGTAATAGTTATAATAATAATATTAATAATCATACACGAGCACTTAATGATTCGTCGCACTTACAACGATGTACTCAAGGCCTTGCGAAGTCGACGGATCTTTCTGAGGTGTACTTATATAGTTTTGCATACGTATGTACATACCTAACATATTATAAAATCTGCGCATATTTGTATAAATATGTGTATTCACGCGCGCGCGCGCGCTGCAGCAGAAATTGCGGAAATCAAGCGCATGTAAGAGGCGGTCGCCTATAATGAGACTAGTTTTATGCAATAACATATATATGTACAATACATACATACACATTTAAAAGACAAAAATCGGAGGGATGTGTACTTCGCTCTCGAGATATTTATGGAGCAATAGAGCGAGTAATGTTACGATGGTAGTTTGAGGAGCGATGATGCGTGAGGATGTGTGTTTGCTGGTTAAATTGTTGTTGTTTTAAAGCAGAGTGCAGTGCCGCCAATCGGGCGATCGGCTATTTCGCCCCGATCGCGACTGCCTTTGACTTTTTTTTCCTGAAAAATCAAACAAACACAAATTGTATGTTAACACATTGGGGAGTGCTACGTGCCTTTTCATATTGCACGAGGAGAGGGAAGAGATGCAAGGAACCTTCGGTAACTCATTAAGTACTTATGTGTCCCCCCATAGCTTTGCAAAACCAACCGACTCGAGTGGATTCGGGTTAAGACAAATGGTCCTTTAACGTTTTTTTTTTTTTTTTTTCTTTTAACTTTTCTCGGTATTTTTCGATTTTGTGTCTGACAAAAAAAAAATTGCAGGCTTTTCCGAGATGCATTTCCTAAAAACTAATTTTGGGATAAGCTCGAACTAACGCGAGCACGCCGTGGGCCTTTTATCGTAATGTGGAAAAGTAAAAAAATATTTTTGGATTAGCAAGCGACGTTTTGATCATTGCGTCCACACACATTACATGCCTGCCGGTGTCAAATGGTCAACTGTAAGGAACGTTGAAATCGAAGAGTTTTGTGTTCTGAGAATGTCAGGTGTATAGAAAAAAAAAAAAAAAGTTTTGCGTCCATAAATACAAAAACGCCTTCAGTAATTATATCTGCGTCCACATTGCACACATGTGGACGTTGATTGGAGTTCAATTCATCCCACATAACTCGGAAAAGTTTTAAAATAAAAATTTGAGAAATCGCACCTCACGCATCGAATAATTGCATTTTGCGTGAATTAATCCCCCCCCCCCTGCGGATATCAAGTACGTACGTGTGAGCTATATCTATTCAAATGCGGATGCGTTGGAGAGTATCCTGTGCTAGAAAAAAGTAAACTAAAAATAACAAAATCCCCTTTCGACCGCATAATACTTGTATCATGTAGTATGTACGGTGTGTTGATACGTTATAAGTTTAGTACACTAGCAGGAAGCAGCGAGCGGGTGTGTGTGTGTGTATGTGCACAAGAAAAAGAGCAGAAGAAGGTAGGAGGTGAGATTTTTTTAGAGAAGAAAGCTGCAGAAGCACCAAGGGAGGAGATGGTATCCTTATGGTAGCAGCGGACCATAATCACGAGTACCTATACTATATCTGCCAAGGAGGAAGAGGAGGCCAAACTGGAAAGCGAGGGCAGCAGCATAGTGGAGAGAAAAACAGGAAGAGAGAGAGAGAGGTGGCTAGGAAGCTGCTACGACTCTCTGAAGGGTTTAAACATGCGCGTGAGCACGAGGCACAAGTTATTATGGTAAAGCGGAGAAGCGCGAAAAGCACGAAAGGAGATTCCTCTCGTTGCTGTATAGCTCTCCTACACGGTGCAGCTCAACTATATGGTAGGTATTACTCTTTACTCTCTCTCTCTCTCTCTCTCTCTCTATACATGGCTTGGTTGTACCTACTTCTATCTCCTCGAGCGCTTTTTCCCTCTTCCCCGTGTCCTACTACCACTACCCACTGGATACCACATGCACGCGTCGATGCTATTTATTCTCGTCTTGTTAGTTTTTTTTTTTTCCAGATTATTATTATTTTATTATATTTAACGCCCACCCCATGAAAGTATTAGAAAAAGTGATTAAATTCCGAATTGAACACAATTTACAAGTCATCAGTTAACAATTTTGTAAAAACAGAATCACTTCATTCCGATCAAGTACAGTTTATCATTAAATACTTAAATAAAAAAAAAAGCGACAATTAATAATTGATGACAAATTGTACTACAAGCAAATTTATTCTAGTTTTATATAACCAAAGAGTTCTAAATTGTGTTTAATTGGAGTTTTAACTTTTGGAGAAAAAAAATTTTTTTAACAGCCACGCCACAGAAACGATTTGCTCTGCGCTTATCACGTACATTTTATAGCTCTTTTAGGGTATGGCTCTGACTCTAAAATTACCAAGTTTATACCCAACAATCGTACTAATTCTAGTCTTGAAACAAACCAATTAATCCTTTTTTTATTTTCTTCCATCGCAATCAATGTACATAACAGAACAGCTTATACATGTGTACAAGCTTTGTTAATCGAAAAAAATCAAAGTATCTCAGTAACTTGTGATTTAATATTCATAATTTTTTTTTTATTTCTCAAATATCTTGTTGCCTGAAGCAACAGTGCACTATCAATCTTACCGAAATTTTATCAATAAAAGGGTACAGCTTACCTTACCGATAATTTCTGTGCAATGTAAAAGTTGCACGAGATATTTTGATTTTTGGACTTTGACTTTTAAGTGAACGACTTGTCAAAGGTGCATTAAAAATTTATGAATTATAATGGTGACAACTCAACAACTACTTACTCGGAAATTTTCCTTTTTCGCTCCGATTTGATTGGTTTTTCATTTTCTAAACTTGCCTGATGATCAACATACTTTTGAATATTGCATTGAGTTGATTTGAAGAGGTTTTTTATAACCGCGTTGACCTGCTCGCGTCTGTATAAAGCGACATAAGCTGTAGTGTCCGATAACCAAGAAACATAAGCTCCTCCTGAATAAATATATTATGATCATTTTGTTCTAATATATTTTTGTTGACAACTTTCATCTCATCTTATTGGTATTACATTGCTACAAAAAAGTACACACTGTACTTTACTAAGTTTAGCTTACCATATGGACTGAAAAGTTGCGAGAGATCACTTATTTTCCACTGTTTGGGGAAAGTTATATGAAATACATGATCTCTACTTGGATTTGCTAAAATTCAATATTACAGCTTGTTTTTACGTTTTTTTCTTGGTTTAAAATTGAAATATTTTGCAAAATGACAACACTTACGATCTTTGCCTGTGAGATTTATGTATGGATAATCTTTTAATCTCGATATTAATAACCTGTAAAATAATAATTTAAAAAAATCATATGCACAAGAGGTAAACTGTATTTCAAACATTTAACCTACTTATTAATGTAAGGGTTCAATAAAGGAGAGTCTGCCAATACTGTTGACACATGTAGCTTTTGTAAGGAACCTAAAATATTAAGAATTGTTTATATTTTACGAAATAATCGATAATATACATTTTTAAGAGAACATTCAAACTTACCAAGTCTATCACACAAAGAGATGAAGCAAAGTCCAGTGATGTATGCATCATAACCAGCTTCGTGTAATTTATCGTTATTTAAGGTGTAACTTCGGTCTCTTACATCTTCCGTTTCGGGTAGTTTGAATGGAGAATTTTGTATTGTTTCTAATAAGTGATTTAGCACCGAGGGAACAGAGTCTTTGAATTGAGAAGATTGGCAAACAATTTTCGTATCCAAAAGCCTATAATTCAACAACCAGGTAAGTCAGCACATAAATGTTTATTTATTTTCATCCAAGAAAAGAAATGTCATATTACTCCAGCACCTTGGAAAAAGACTGTGAACCAGGTTTTTAAATTCCTTGTAGCTTTCTGGCAATGGGCCAAAAAATTGATGAATTATGTGACATAGATCCAAAAGCATATTATGTCCTACTACTAATTTTCCCTATTAAAAAAAANAAAAAAAAAAAAAAAAAAAAAAAAAAAAAAAAAAAAAAAAAAAAAAATGCCTTTAAAATCAGTACATAACTGAAAAATGAAAAAATAAATAACATTTTATCAGAAAACTTACTGTCGCAACAATTTTCTTTAAAAGAGCACTCAGTCCAATGGCTTCTTGTACTTGAAGATTTTCTTTTTCTTTCCTTTCAGCTTCTCTAACTTTTTCTTCATCATCCGTACCTACTTTATAAGCAACAAGATATGCATTTCCATTTTCATTTTTGCCTTGCAGTTTTATTTTATTTGGCCACCTTATTTTTACTTCTTGGTGTGTGAGTCGTCTAATGAAAGCATTACATTTGTCTATTATAAATTCTTTTTCTTCAGAGTCAACAAAATTATCTATCTTAGAACTGTAATAAACAAAAATCTATAAAAATTAAGATAAAAAAAAAATCCTTTAAATTTATTGCACTTACCAGATTTCCTCAATTTTTGACTTGTCTTGATCAGGAATTGGAATAAGATCAAATTCATCTTCATCTCTTGCCTTTTGTTTTTCTTCGAGTTTTTTATTTAACTTTTCTTCTTCCTCTTTTGTTAAATAGGGTATGCCATATTTAAAAAGTTTATTGAAATCAAAACCTTGATTTGCTAAAAAAGCTATGGATGAAGCTTGACATTTGAATCTACAGTCAGGTGTTGTTCTATTGAAAGACTTTGGAAATACGTAAAAATTGTATGATCTTTGACTGTACCTGAAATAGGTTTTGAAATCAGTTATTCTCTCAACTTTTCATTTAATCAAGAAACCACGAGGAGAAAAAAAAGTAAATGCTCATACTTATTAGTGGCAGGATTGTGAGTGAAAACAGATAAACCAAGTTGTACGAGCAGAAAGTCCATAGAGCCAGTTCTCAATTTGGCATAGTACTGGGCAGGGGTGTCAAAAGCACTGGCATCTGGTCCTGAACTGAGCCCGGTAAATTCACCATCAATTGCCAAAAATGTTGCATTGTCCAAGACATCATCCAACTCAGTTAAGATTTCTTGGAAATCTAAAAGGTCAACAATTTTAAAGTTTATGTGGCAAATATAAAAAAAATGGTTAACAAAATAAGGTAAAATAAGGTTGTAAGTACTTGAAATCGATTGTAAGAAAAGGCAGTAAACAGTACTTAATTAATAGCTACAGAATGTGAAAGCAGAAGGTACATGGGTATTTTTATTGGAGCACCATTGCATCAGGACCATCAAATTTTACGATGCAGCAGTTTTAACATGTGATCTTGAGGCAAGAGTTATTAAATTGTAAAAATATTTATGTAATATTCAAGCAAGCAAGTATATGTGAGCCATCCTGGTTTATCCGGTTGGAAAGAGCGCGGGTATTTGGTCACATAAACGAACTTGCTGGAGGTTAGTTCAAACGAGCATGTGAACCAACAGAGAAAATACAAGTATGAATAACGGCGAGGACAAAAAAGGCACGAATGAAAATATGTCTAATGCTCACTGATGCAAGTAACTTCCATGGTTGCCGCTGCGGTTGGTACATTAATTCCACGCACGGATTTTCAGGGTCACGCTGCTCGGTGTCTCGTCGTTGGCGTACAAAGCCTGGTTCATGTGATGATACAGCCGCAGTCTAGGGAGTCGTCGGGCATGTCTTTTGCATGAAACTCTTCTCCGAGAGTGCGCGTTTGTCGCGGTATATTTATTTCTCTTGGGTAGTCCTGTTACTCCTAAAGCTGCTATATACTTATAATATATCACTACTTATCCGGCCTGTAATGTCTGTACATCTAAAGCAACAGCGCTGTTGTGTGTCGTCGTACTAGGTATGCGCGTATGATCGTCGATCGTCGCTCCGCGGAGTTGCCGGAGCTGCAATGCAACAATTACCTATATACTAGGTATGGTGAGATTGGTGAGGGCCTTATGTCGGCCTGATTCAATGTTTATTGTTTTATTTACGTGCAGTATTTTCACTCTCGTGACGTCATCAGCCAATATGGCAATTGTATATATTAGGTTTGTTCATTTATCCACCTTGGAGCGCTCCGAGCGCTCCCCGATCTATAAATGAACACGAGTTCTTTACTTCTTTGTCGGAGAACTCGGAGACCTCAGGGACATCTTAATACTATATAGGTATACTCGATACAACTGCTCAGTGTTTAAAAACATCAGTTGTATGTCTCGGAGACCTCCGAGTTCTCCGATAAAGAAGTAAAGAACTCGTGTTCATTTATAGATCGCTCGGAGTGCTCTAAGGTGGATGAATGAACAAACTTATTTTTTGTTGAGTTGTAGGTTGTGTAGAACCAAGAGCTGAGGCCCGAGGGTGGTCAAAATCTTAACCAGCCGCCACTTTCATCAGAATTGAGGAACCTTTTATGACTCGTGGAGATCCAAAACATTTTGGTCATATTTCATTTTGGTGAAGAGTTTTGTTGATATTTAAGAAGTGCCACATGGTCTATTTTATAAACCAGCTGCAATTGAAACCAATCGACAGATAATCAAATGTCGTCAACATATTCGGTTGACAACTTTTTATCTTCTATCTATTAATATAAGTTGCGGCTGGTTTATAAAATAAACTATGTGGTACTTCTTAAATACCAACAAAACTCTTCACCAGAATGAAGTATGACAACAAATATTTCGGATCTCCACGAATCATGAGGTTCATCAATTTTGATAAGAGTGGCGGCTGGTGAAGATTTTGACCACCTTCTGGTCTCAGCTCTTGGTCTTTAAAGGAACTTAGGAACTCTATGATTGGACAAAATTTATCGACTGTGTCGCGTGCACGCTGAGTGGCTGAGAGGGCTGAGAGTCGAAACAGTTAAATCCAAGCGCAGTGTTTTAAGTAGGTTCTGTTCTGTGTTGATTTGTCTAACTTAATTCTAAGGACGTTCGGTAGAGACAGAACCCTGTGATGAATCTTTTTAAAATTTTAACCAGACGTTCTTATTGTTGTAACAATGAAGCTGTTAAAATTTCAAGAGGTTCGTCTGTTTCGTTTTCGAGACATTGAATTTCAAAGTTCAGTCATTTTAACACGGTCGCTTATGGGGAAACCTATAAAAACTCAGTTTTAAAAAAATTGGCGTGTGAATGTCTCCAATTTTTTTATGTCACAGATAATGTTATTAACTATATGTACACAAAGTTTCGCGATGATCATCTGATTAGTTCATAAATAAAAAAATTAAATAATAGTTCGACAAAAACGTAATCGCAACGTCGCAAGAAGCGGGAAATTCAAAATGTTCCAGGACGTAAATCAGTAAATATTTGAATATTATGGTAGATATTTAGGTATTTCTGTATAAAACATAAGTTTATATATGTGTGTGAGTGTAAGTACATAAGTTCCACCCGTACCCATAACAAAACATTGTATTATAATAACACATATTTATTTTTCTTAATAAAGTTTTTNGTATTATAATAACACATATTTATTTTTCTTGATGAAATTTTTAATTTGTAATTTTTATACAATAAAATTTTTTCACACAAAATAACAAAATCATATGCTTATAGTAATTGCAGAGACTAGAGTCTGTCCTAATTATTTTCAACATATCACTTTCAATGAGACTTTTCAAATCACATAAAAATTCAAGAATTTTATTTACATTAGCTACGAATATAATTGTATGTACATATATCTGTCACAAGTCTTTTTACTTATTTACTCGTTTTTATTACATTTTTATAACGAATAAAAATCAAATACTTACATCTATAGCACAAATACATTACAAATATACACATGCGCTGCCGTAACCAACGCAGCAGACATTGCCAAGTCTTCACTCAATTCTACCTTCCCCTTGCCCCGCAAGTGGTTCCCGCCGCTATCTCTACCGAACGTCCTTAATACGAATAGGCTTGTAGGATCTGTTAGGAGTATAATATGTTACTTCATCATCTGCAGTTGTCAAATCCATAAGTAGGTATAAAACCACATCTGATTTCGCCAACTCCATTTCACGAGTTAGGTTACGAGGATAAAAACGTACTTTTATTGATTATTGTTGTTATATACCTACCTAGCTACCTACGTACTTGCACTAAAGAGTCTCAAAGTCGTAAGGCCGTGACTGATCGTGAGTGTTGTGACTCATGATTATTGTCGTGAAGGCTGAAAGTTGACGGTGTGGTACCAGGTGATACTGCGGTGGGAGTTGGTAAGGATCTCCGTTGTCGTCTCTGCCAGAGTCCGATCGACTTCCGAGAGGCGTATTTTAAATTCTTGGGAAGAGTCGTAACGGACGACGGTATACTCACCACACGATTTAAAGTGTTGTATTATAAGTGCAAGGGTAAGTACTACAAGTACTAAATAATAATAAGCATCAAGACTTATCAAGGTAAAATGCAAACTACCGGGTTATATACGTTGTACCCAATAACTCAACTACACGCGGGAACGTATGTAGATATGCGCGCGTGAGCGTGAATGTATATACCTACAGAGTACCTAACAATATAGAGTTTCTCACACACTTCTCATGTTCTAAGTCCGCAATCTCCGCAACTCTGTACAACCCGCAGTCTGCATTGTCTGCATCATAAATTTTACACGGGACCACTAAGTATACTTATTGCAAGCGCACTCTTAGCTGTTTGTAAGTTTGTTTTTCCTAAAGTTGTCCATTTTGTCTATTCAGCTAAAATATACTTGGTCTACATTCTGGCCTCTGGTTGAAAGACTTTTTTTCACGACCCTTTAAAGAAAATCTACTTGGTATTTAGTCTTATATCTGAATCTTGACTCTTTTTGCTCTTGCTGTTATAGTTGCTGAAAATGGAGGAGGATACTGAATTTCAAAAGTTACCTGTTGAGGATCGGGTCGTGCACAAGGTACGTCTTGTTGAATCACTGTTCGACAATCAGTATCGTGATTATTATTCTTAGTACACGTGTTTACGTACACTCATCTGACATGGCATCTGTACTATTAAGCCTTTTGAGTGAAATAAACACGGAGACAGACAATTTCTATAAAGTTAACATGTATATGCACGTATGTAGCTCAACTTGGTAATAACTCGCTGATTGTTGAATTTGTTTGTTTGTAGCTATGGAAAGCTCGATTGCATGGATACGAAGAGTGCACAAAAACTTTTAGATTAATTGACGATGAAAAGTCACCTGAATGGAACAAGTATCTTGGCCTTGTCAAAAATTTCGTCTCCGACAGCAATGCTGCTGCACAGGAGAAAGGTCTAGAAGCAGTGTTGGCTTATGTAGAAAGTGCTGCAGCTGCTGGAAAGTGAGTTTTTTTTTTGAAAATCAATATTAATTTAGATGAACTTGTGACAATTGTTAAGTTTTTTTTTCCAGAACAACAAGCGAAGTTGTCAGCAGGATTGTTTCGAAATGCATCGCAGCGCCTAAAACAAAAACTAAAGAGCTAGCTGTGCAAATAATATTGATGTACATCGAGATAGAAAAGCATGAAACTGTTCAAGAAGAACTGATGAAAGGAACTGAAGCCAAAAATCCAAAAATCGTATCAGCATGCATATTGACTCTCACGCTTGCCCTTAAGTACTAATTGATTATTTATTTATTCATAAATCTATTTGTTTATACTTTTCATTTTAACAAATCAATTTTTTTAGGGAATTTGGTCCCAAAGTTATCAATGTAAAGCCAATAATGAAAAAAGCACCATCGTTACTCGAGGATAGGGATAAAACTGTCCGTGATGAAACGAAAGCTTTGGTTGTAGAAATTTATAGATGGATCGGAGAACCTTTGAGAGCTCAGCTAAACACTTTGAAGGCTGTTCAGATATCAGAATTGGATGTTGAGTTCAAAAATGTTTCTTCTGAAAAGGCTGTTCCCACTAGATACTTAAGATCTCAAAAGCCCAAAGTATCATGTCACGTTGATCATAATGTTGGGGAAGGAGACGAAGGTAGTTTTTTTTAGAGAAAAAGTTACTTGGATTTTTTAAAGAGGAAAAATTCACTTAATCATTAATACGTATTATTTTTCAGATGACCAAGACGATTATGGAGATGACGATCAGCCTGAAATAGATCCGTACGAGTTATTAAGCCCCGTGGATATTTTATCAAAGCTTCCCAAAGATTTTTATGAAAAAATTGAATCTAAAAAATGGCAAGATCGTAAAGAAACTCTTGAAGCTGTAGAAGCGTTGGTTAAAAATCCAAAGTTGGAAAATGGGGATTATGGAGAAATGATTCGAGCTTTGAAAAAAGTAACTAATTTCACTATGACACAGATTAAATAAACCAAAAGAACGATATTAAGACTAAGTTTTTACTCATTAATTTGTAGGTAATATCAAAAGATTCCAATGTAATGGTAGTAGCTTCGGCCGGTAAATGCTTAACAGGATTAGCCAGTGGTTTAAAAAAACGATTTCAAAACTATGCATCAGCTTGTCTTCCTGCGATCTTGGAAAAGTTTAAAGAAAAAAAACCAAATGTTGTTTCAGTTTTAAGAGAATGCGCAGATGCGATATTTCTTAGTGTAAGTATAATACGAACGACGTATAAAAATCATAAAAGATAATTAAAATGCTGTGCAAAACTATATTGGCTTCCGTCAACAGGTAAATATCGAATTAATTTTGGAAGACGCTTTGGCAGCTCTTGAAAATAAAAATCCATCCGTAAAGGCTGAAACTGCGGCATTCTTGGCTCGTTGCTTTGCGAGGACGCCACCGTCCAGTCTGAATAAAAAACTATTAAAGGCCTATACGGGACCGCTACTAAAAACTCTTAACGAGCCCGATCCATCCGTAAGAGACAATAGCGCTGATGCGCTGGGGACAGCAATGAAATTGGTGGGTGAAAAAGCAATGTCGCCTTTCCTCGTCGATTTGGATAATTTAAAAATGACCAAGATCAAAGAGAGTGCTGAAAAAGCAACAATTCTTGTCAAAATTACAACGGAACGTAAAGCACTGCCGAGCGAAAAATCGAGTGTCACAAGGAAGGCTGCTGAACCTTCAACAAAAAATGAAGATAGCGATGCTAAAGCAAAGAGGCCAAAAACTGCATCAACCAAAAAGACCGCTGTAGGAAAAAAACTTGCTGCTTCATCCGTCACCAATTTGAGTATGAAATTTATAATCGTTTATCACCAATATTTGAATGGAGTTTATTTTAAAACGAACTTTATATTACAGCTAATCCGAAGAAGTCTTCATCAAAAGCTGTAGAAAAAAATTTGAGTAATGAAGAAGTTGATGAAATGGCCGCAGAACTCTTGCCGGCAGAAGTTTTGTCGGGGCTTGTCGATGCAAATTGGAAAACACGATTAGTTGCTGTCGAACAGCTGAATGAAGTAAGAAATTTATCATAAAAATTTCAGAATTCATCAATTTATTTTATTTAATTTTTAGTTTGTGCAACAAATGGATTCTTCGCGAGTATCCACTCAACTTGTCTTAAGAGTTTTAGCCAAAAAGCCAGGTTTCAAAGATACTAATTTTCAAGTTTTAAAGTTGCGCTTGGAGATTGTAAAAACATTGGCGGAAAATCATCAATTTTCAAAGTACGGAGTTTTTAAATTAAAATTAAAATCGATAAGTTAAAGTTGTTAACTGTTTTTTATCATTGTAAAAATATTTGTAGTATTTTGACCGAGTACTGTTTAATGGATATAACGGAAAAACTAGGCGATGCGAAAAATAGTGCAACAGCCGCAGATACATTAACAGCTATTGCGGAAGCTACGAGTCTCGAATTGGTATCAAACGAAGTTATGTCTTTTGCATTTAATCAAAAGAATCCAAAAGTACAGCAAGAAACACTGCTTTGGTTATCCAAAGCATTGACTGAATTTGGTTTTATGTAAGTCGAATAACTATCGAAGCTATTTTTTTTTTATTTCCCACAGTACAATCACAAGAGAAAAAAAAATTTTTTTCAGAGTCAATACGAAATCATTAGTCGAAAATGTCAAGAAAGCTATAAGCGCGACAAATCCAAGCATTAGAACAGCTGGCATTACGTTAGTGGGTACCATGTTTTTATACATTGGAAAGCCATTGCTTACTTTCTTCGATAATGAAAAGCTAGCGTTAAAACAACAAATTGAGCAAGAATGCGAGAAGGTAATTCAGAAAACGTAAGTTTTACTCAATCGATCGAATGATTTGAATCGTTGGTTTAATTAGTTTAAAGGTGAAACGCCACCCACGCCAATTCGAAAAACTAAGGGAAAAAAGAGCCCAGTTCAAGATGACGAGAACGTAGATATGGACGATAAAGAATTTACGACTCAAGTGGAAGTTAACGACATGATACCAAGAATAGACATCGGTAATCAAATAACAGAAGCTCTATTGAATGAATTATCTGACAAGAATTGGAAGGTGCAAAAAATTATAAACACTTTATTCCTATTGCTCAAAATTACGATATCCAACATGTACGTAATTACGTGGTTTGTAGGTCCGAAATGAAGCTCTCCAGAAAATCAGTAATATATTAAATGAAAATAAGTTCATCAAAGGCTCTCTAGGCGAATTACCACAAGGATTAGCTCACAGATTGATTGATAGCAATAGCAAGATTGCACAAGCTACTTTAGGTATTTGTGAGAACTTGGCAACCGCCATGGGATCACCGATAAAACAGTACATTCGAGCACTTTTTCCTGGATTCTTACAATGTTTAGGCGATTCAAAGGTATAACTATTACTGATTTAAATTAATTACCCATTTTTCTACATTATCGCATTATTATTGTAGGCCTGGATTCGCACTGCTGCTATATCTTGCATGAATACTTGGGTAGAACAGTGTGGCTGTAAAGAGTTTTTCGAAGGTGAGATGGTAGGAGACGCCTTGAAATCAGGATCACCAACTTTGCGAAATGAACTATGGACTTGGCTTGCCGAAAAATTACCTGCTGGTAGGATTAATTTAAATATCGATTTATGGAAAAATTGCGAGGATATGGAAGGTGAATTTATTAATTTTTTTTTTCCCCCCCATTTTAGCAGCCCCTAAGCAAATTTCTAAAGAAGAACTTGTAATATGTTTACCAATATTATTCAACAACTTAGAAGATCGTAATTCCGATGTTCGAAAGAGCGCACAAGAAGCTGTACTTGGATTTATGATTCATTTGTCGTACGAAGCCATGGTGAGGCAAACGGAAAAGTTGAAGGTAAACCTCATGCATTCATCAAATGCTGAAAAAATACATTTCAAAAAAATAATTTTGTTGAACTATACTTAAGCCTGGCTCAAAGACTGCTGTGATTGGCGTTTTGGATAAGATTCGTCCAAACATGCCCATCAAACCGTTACCTAGTAAGAAGTTGGCATCTGATGATGCTGGTGGCCACAAGGTTGTTAAAAGTGGTGGTGCCGTTAAAGCTTCAAAGACTGCTGTTAAAACAAAAGTAAGCAAATAATATGTTGAAAAATACTTGAAGTTTAAAAAAAAATGTACCAGTCTCTTTCAATTGAATTGTATCGACTGCTTAGGGTGCTGCTGCAACCAAACCTGCGGCTGGTGGCGCTCGTAAAAAGGAAGATGACGTTGATACGAGTCCCCTGCTGTCCGTAAATAATATGAAGCACCAGCGATCAATCGATGAACAAAAATTGAAAATTTTAAAGTGGAACTTTACAACACCGAGGGAAGAGTTTGTAGATTTGTTAAAAGAATTAATGTCGACGGCAAGCGTTAATAAAACGTTGATGTCAAATATGTTCCACTCCGACTTTCGTTATCATCTCAAAGCTATTGAATCCTTGACGGAGGTAATGTCACATTGACGTTTGTTACAATTGAAAATTTATCGAAAAAATTTGATAATGGTTTTTTTTGTCTAAAGGACTTGTCTGACAACAGCAAAGCTTTGGTCTGTAATTTAGATTTGATATTAAAGTGGCTCACTCTACGATTTTTTGATACAAATCCATCCGTGCTTTTGAAAGGATTGGATTATTTGCAAATGGTCTTCAACATTTTGATAGAAGATCAATACCACATGCTTGAAAATGAAGCTGCATCATTTATTCCTTACTTGATAATTAAGGTTAGCAATGATTTCCACATTTCAATACTTTATGGCTTTTAATTGCTTATTACAATTCATATTTAAGATTGGAGATCCAAAAGATGCGGTTAGAAATGGTGTCAAAGCTTTATTCAAACAAATAGCCTCAGTGTATCCTGTTAGCAAATTATTTTCTTATGTTATGGACGGCTTAAAGTCTAAAAACGCTCGACAAAGAACAGAATGCTTGGATCAATTAGGATATCTAATTGAAAGCTACGGTGTTGGGGTTTGTCAGCCATCTCCCTCGGCAGCTCTCAAAGAAGTTGCCAAGCAAATAGCTGATCGCGATAATTCCGTAAGAAATGCAGCTTTGAATTGCATAGTTCAAGCCTACTTCTTGGAGGGAGAAAGAGTTTACAAACTCGTTGGACAGGTACCGCCATGTTTTTCAGATAAGAAACTTTTTTTCTTTTTTTTTACCACCTGTATGTAACAAAAAAATTGTTTATTTTTTAATTAGATCTCTGAAAAAGACCAGTCCCTACTGGATGAAAGAATCAAGCGAGCAGCCAAAAATAGACCAACCAAAAGCGCGACGATGACAAAAGCAAAAGCTTCACCTGTACAGGTACCCATTTCCAGTAATAATGACATTAATGAAACGGATGAAGAGCAATACGACGACGATGAAGCCGAAGAAGAACAAGCAATAAAAGGAGAAAATTATGAGTCAGTACACTCCTTTTATCGCCATCATTTTCAAATATCACTATTATACTTGAATCTTAATATTTATCTTTTTTAAATCATGCCAATTTTCGCTCTATACCTTTAGTTAATTTGTATAATGTATGAGTAATATGAATCTACTTTTTTTTTTATTTTACTATTAAAATTAGAATAAAGAAAGGAGGGAAAGGAAAAGACTCGGATGAATTGGAAATCACTTTGACTTGCAATAGTGATAAAATTTATTATGAAAATGCAATGTCAAAAGAAGAATCTGATTCTTCCGCGAAAGCTTCATGTGAAAGTCAACGTGACAATCATGAAAAGTTTGTTTTTTTTATCTTATTTTTTTTTTTATGTCAAATGGTGATGGGTTCTGTGTAATTGAATGCAAGCAAATAAATCCGTCACAAGTGTCAATCTTTTTCTCTCTTCGAATATTTGTTACTCTCTGTTTTGTCAGTATTTTTTCAGTGTTTTGGAATTACGTATAAACGTGCTGTCGCATCTATTTTTGTTAACCCAAGAATTTCTTGTCATTGATTAATTTGTTAATTATCTTTGTAGAAATGTACCATTGTATCAGCCTCAAATAAAAGTATCGGGACCATTTGGATTAGACATGGAATTGATACAAAAAATAGAAACGAGCGCACCTGTGAAATGTAGAGTACCAAAACTTCTCGAGACGAATGTAGATCTAAACGAATCGGTGGAAACATTGAATCCCACTCATCAAAGACAGTGAGTGAACTTTTTTCGTTACTAATTTATAAAAAACAACAAAGTGCTAATCAATTGAATTCTTACCGTTTTCCTAGGATTATTCCAATTTCACCTCCAAAACTACTAATACCAAATTTACTGGAAAATACATCGCCATTGAATTCGTCCATTGGAAAAGAGGACAGCCTAGAACGAACTGTCCTTGGAATGGCAAGCTTAGACCTAACGACTGCTATTCAATCTATGAACGCTATGGAGTCTGTTAGTATGCGTTTAAACATGATTAAAACAATTTCATTACTTTTGAATGTCATTAATATGTGATTTTTTAATACTTAGTTTTTGAAATCGTATCAAGTATCTATGTTGAAAACTAAAGAGGATAAGTTTATTAGCTCCGTTAATATGCAGCTGAAACTTTTGCAAACTTATCCGTTGCATCAAGGAAGTACCCAAGTATCCAAGGGTTTCAGGACGACCTTTATGATTATATTGACGGTAAGTGGTTATCCAAAGGTTCTTAATAAAAAATGCACATCTTGCATCGAGTGAGCATACATCAATCAATCAACTAAATTTATTCTTGATAGTTTTATGACACTGGTATCTTGGGGAAAAATGTGCCCATGTCGAATCTCAGAGATCTCGTGGATCAGATGATTGGATTTTTAGCTGAAAATAAGCTCGAACGTCTCAACGATGCCGAAGCGTATATTCGAGTTATCAATACAATAGTTTTGAAAATAATCGACAATTCAGACCACACGACAATCATATGCGTACTTGTGAAATTACTGCACGAGCGTGCAGATTCCAGTGGTCCAGCTAAATATGAAGATCTCATTATGAAATGTCTATGGAAAATCGTCAAGACAATACCAAATTGGGCTGGAGAATTGGACTACGACACGATTCTTTTGGAAGTACACAACTTCTTTAAAGTTAGTAAAACTAAAATTTTAAAATGTCCTGTGCTTGTAATTAAATGTACTTATTTATTTATTTTTTGTGCAAAACTCATTTCAGGATTATCCAACGTCTTGGTGGAAAAAACAAAAGAAACCGGATACGCCGATGCGAACGATTAAAACAATACTTCATGGTATGACAAAAGTAAAAGGCAGCACGATTTTAAGTCACTTGACGCTAATAAATAACAGTAACGAATCGGAACTACGTTCTTATTTGATGAGATTAATCACAGTACGTAATTAATTATACAATGATAAAAGACTTATTCAAGGACTTTTACTTGAGTCGTATAAATCTTTTACAGAGCTTCAAACCAGACGATGCGGTCAACAATAAAGCAATAGCAAAATCCAGCAATCATCAAAGTCAAAAGCACGTTTCAAAGTACACGCAGCAGCAATTGTCTGAAATTTTTAAAAAAATTGGATCAAAGAATCAAGCTGACGAAGTATGGGTTTATTAGCCGTGTAACCATTTAATTAAAAATTATATTCATTCAATAAAAAATGTTTCGGTGTTTTTAGGGCCTAGCACAATTGTATGACTTTAAACTACAGTATCCAGAGGCAGATGTACAACCGTTTTTAGACAGATCGCATCAGTTCTTTCAAAACTATATAGAACAAGGACTAAAAAATATAGATACGACAAGAAAAAATCAGAATCTCTCAACAGAAATACAAGTAGTTAATAATCAGCAGCACAGTATTGGTAGGCATTAAAGTCATTTGATTAAAAATTTTTTTTTTTTTTTTTTATTGTTTTCATGTTTAACGAGTGTGATAATCTTATTTACTCGCAGACGGACTTAGATTAGGGAGCATGAACCAAGACGGAAAAAATATAATGGATCCATTACATAGGCTGGAAAGACTGAGAGCTTTGGAAGCTCGAATGAATCCAAGTCAGTCTAATCATGCATGAACCTGACGTAGGATTGAAGAATATTTGTATTTAATTCCATAGACAATCTTTGGTGATTACATTTTTAACAATTGCAGCAAGTTAACTTTTTCAAAGAGTGGTTACAATAGTTGTGTATAGTTAATATTATAAATTTTGCCGTTTGCGTGTCTGTTTGTGATAAATTTAATAATTGTAATTTACTCGAGAAATCTTAGTGCACGTTGTCAATTTTTTTTGTCTTTAAAAGCGATTGAACTATGTATTTTTTCATCCAGTTGACTAGTTACGTTATATGCTTGTCGTTCTTTTAACTATTGTGTAAAACTATTGCCACATTGTATATGCAATATATATATAAAATAGTAATCGATGAATAATACTTGAGTCGGATAATGCGGTTCAACGTCGTAAATAGTTACGTTTAATTCCTTGGTATTTTCTTTTTTTTGTTTTTTTAATAATTCAAAGCAATGATACCCATCGAATTGAACCTTGCTACTTGAGTGTATGATAATTACATATTTCTTTTAACTATTTTTTATTTTTATTTTAAATAAAAATTAGAATATAATTAGACAAAGCATTGATATTTCTTTGACTTCTTTACAATGATTTTTCCCTAACCAAACTTTTTGATTTTTTTGAAAAAGCCATTTATAATTTCGTAACTATGCTGTATTACTTAATGGTAACGAAATAATTTAATAAGTAAATACTTGCTTGACACAAGAATTTATTCTACAACTTACATTTCAAGGGAAACTAGATTAAATTTTCTTTTAGCGATACAGATGATCTGCATGCAAATTAACAGCTATTTCCGACTCCCATTTGTCACCATTATTTAACAATTTTTCCTTATTATACAACAACTCTTCGTGCGTTTCTGTTGAAAATTCAAAGTTTGGTCCCTAAGGAGCAAATATGATTTTAAGCATACAATCGTTCCAACTGCAGCATGATAAAATTAATAATATATATGATTACCTCGACAATGGCATCAACAGGACATGCCTCTTGACAGAAACCGCAATATATACATTTAGTCATGTCAATATCGTATCTAGTCGTGCGCCTTGATCCGTCTGCCCTTTCCTCGGCCTCTATGGTAATAGCTTGAGCTGGACAAATGGCCTCGCAGAGCTTGCAAGCAATGCATCTTTCCTCTCCAGATGGGTATCTGAAGGTGTATAATTGTGAAAAATTTTCAAACATGGATTATTTGGGAGTCAAACAGCAGTAAACTCACCTTCTCAAGGCGTGCTCTCCCCTGAACCTTGGACTGAGAGGACCTTTCTCAAAAGGATAATTAATAGTGGCGGGTTCCCTGAAAAAATGAGTCAATGCCATGCCCATTCCTCGAAACAACTCTTGGAAAAACATTGAAGCCACAGCTTTGTCCGTTATATTTTTCCATGTATCCTCTTGTTCAGGATTGACAATGTAATACGCATTTCTGGCAGGGATCCTTAATATTCTGGGAGCGAATCGCCCAAGAGTAAAAACTGCAATATGCATGAATTTAAAGGTAAGTATCTATACAAACCATCAAAGGAACGTCGATTGATGTCACACGCATCAAGTAAATAAACACCGTGAACTGATGAGTACACTAATGATGTTTGGTGCACATTAACATCATTCCGTTTATGATGTAATGTATGTTAAAAAAAAAAAAAAAAAAAAAAAAAAAAAAAAAAAAAAACTAAAACTCTAGTCTAAAATAAAATTGTCGCAATTTGTCCTAAAATCTATTGGGTAGATACTATTGGCAATAAATGGATGAAAATGATAAACACTCGATGGATTAAAATACAGAAATAGCATCATCGGTTCGAGGTTAATCTTGGTAAATTGAAGCTTTTTTGACACTACAATAATTAAACTCGAAAACGATGTCAAATCACTTGGAAAAAAGAAAACAATGAAATCCCTACCTTTTGTAGGCAACATTTTTAGAATTGACTAAGTGAATAAAATAAGGAATCGTTAAACAATTTAAATAATAAATTTTTGGCTACGCAGCAAACAAGCAGCAGCCCTGCTTTACGTTTACGGATGCCTCTGTATCACACAAATATAGTGTATACACACTTACACAGAGGTGCAGATTTGCAGAATGCGTCAGAAACTTCTTCCCCACCCCCCACCATCTCTTACACTCCGATTGGACGTGTCGAAGAATAACTCTTTTTTATTCACCATCACATGTGATGAATTAGTGGACAAAGAATTTATTGAAAAAATGAAGACAGCGCAAAATGTAAACAAAGCAATATACACATGTGGTTACATACTTGTGTGACAAAAAAAAATGGGAAAATCTTAGGGGTAGAAGATAATTTGTAAACTTGACGCAAATAGCACAAACAATGTCAACTTTTTATCTTCTATCTGTTAAATTAGTTGCGGCTGATTCATAGTACTTGATGACATGGCTCTACTATAAACTATTTAACTATAGTAATTATTTGGATTAGCGCCATCTAGCGTTGCGGATTTCTGAACTAGTGAAAAAGTGAACTAAAAAGTGGCCCTAGAATTCTGAACGAGAGCTTTAGGCAGTTTAGGCCCTAGAGCCATTCAGTCAATTATAAATCAGCCGCAACTAATCTTACAGATATAAAATAAAAATTGGCATTGTTTGTGCTGTTTGCGGCAAGTTTACAAATTATCTTCTACCCGAAATTCGACCTCCAAAAGTATAGATACTTAAATAGTTTAATAAAATCGCCATTATGGCACTAAGTACTTAGTAGTGATTACTATTACTACACATAACACTCCACGTATATCTTACACCGTGCTCTCTTTACCAGAATGATAAAATCAGAGGCTGTAATGCCTTTTTCGAAAAACAGCCATCTTTAAATAGACACCAAAACTAGCCACTGAAAAAATTTAAAAACTATACCTAAAGGTAAGGTTACATGCACCTGGGTTCTGTTGCTGCATCGCTGCATACGCTGCGTGTAATGCATATATATATATATATATATATGTGTAAACGAGGGAAACCGCTCGAACCTCGAACACATCTTAAGTCGCCCAACCTGCTGTGTACTTAGTGAAATATATTCGCTGAGTAGGGGCTCGAAACTCAGGACGCACCGTTGCAACAGTACACGCAACCCTTTCGTGGATCGTGAATATTAATTGGCTTGGCACGGTAATAGGTAAGTCTGTATGAACACTTGTCAAGTCAATAATTAACTCATCGTTTTTTTTAACGGTATCGTGCATTAATTTGGGTTGTAATAATTACAGTTCACCTTAATTTTTGTTATCTGAAGTGAATAAGGGCTCATACAGGGTGACCCAAACTATAATGGCTTTGAATGAAAGCGTGGCACAGTTTATGATAAATAAAGATGCTCGGAAAAGATGCAGCCAATGGGTTGACGACGTCAAGGTTGCCTCGCCTTTGAGCGAAAATAACAATGAACTTAAGCGTCGACTGCCAGAAAGTGAATCCGACGACCACGTCGAGACAGATTCAGAGTTTGATTCTGTCTCAGAGTCTGGTGCAGGCAGCAAAAGAAGGCACGCTGTGGCTCTAAAAGCTGAGAAACTTCATCTTGTTTGCGAGTGGAAGGATTGCGATTTTACCATCGAGTCGCTTGATGCTTTCCTTAAGCACGTTGCAAATCATGTTCCTGAGCTAGACATAAGGATCACGGCGGAAATTGAAGTCTACGGCTGCCTGTGGTCAGGCTGTAATTATGAAAGTTCTGTTGACACCGACATTATGCGCCACGTCAACTATCACTCATTTCATACAAAATTGAAATGCATCGGGAAAAACGTCAGAGGAAGGATAAAGCTCCCGGTAAGTCTTGTTTAGAATTACCATTACTTTTTACAACTGATCTTAGATGTATACCTCACCACATGTTTGTCCTTGTTGTTATTATATTTTTTAATTACTTGCCCTCTTTCTAGAAATGCAGGCGCGATGCGATTTGGAAAAATATTTTGGAGACATTGCCCCCACATGAGTGTCAATGGAATAAATGTAATCAAACATTCAATAACTATCAGCTTTTTCTTTATCATATGTTGGGTCACATTGAAAATAATCCACGTGGTAACAAAGTTGACGGTGGGATCATGTGTCAGTGGACTGGATGTAACAGCAAATATCCCAGTATATACAAACTCAGGGAACACGTTCGAGTTCATACGAAAGAAAAAATTCTCGCGTGTCCCGATTGTGGCTGGGCTTTTGCCTCTAATACAAAGTTTCACTATCATTGCAAAAGACAGATTCCACTGGAAGGTTGGTTCTTTTCAAGAATTTGATAACAGCTGATTGATGTGGTTTAAAAATCAAATTTTATTTACTTGGCATACAAATGACATTTTGATGGCATATTCTTTCCCTAGTGCAAGGATATCAATGTTCCCATTGCAACAAGTTTTATCCAACGGAATGCATTTTAAGAGAACATTTGAGGAGTCACGTTTTTCATTACAGATGCGATAAATGCGGTATGAGTTGCGACTCTCCGTCCAGTTTATCAAGACATATTCTATACAGGCATTCCACAACTAGAGGGTTTCCTTGCAACCAATGTTCCCACGCAGCCAAGTCACAAAAAGATCTTGATTCGCATATGATGATACACTTACCTGGACAAACTTTTGCGTGTGAATTCGATGGGTGCAATTATTCTTGCAAAAATGCATACACCTTGGAAAGGTAAGGTAGTTAAATTTTAGTCGTTACAAAGCTTTTATTACTGATAGAAAAATCTTTACTTGTATTTCTAAAGGCACATTGAAAAAGTCCATCGATTAGAAATTCGTTGGTATTGTTGTCACGAATGTCCCGTAAAATACAGAAAGAGTTACAGACTCACTAGGCATCTGATCGAAGCTCATCACTTGCAGTGGCTGAATGGTCACAAAAGATTTCAATACATATTACAAGAAGATGGCTGTTATAGACTTCAAGCAGTGAGATATGAAAGTGTGGATGACGATCCACCTATTTCTCGAAAGGTAATTATTACTTAAAATGAGTCTAGATTATTGTCTTCTCATTGCGAGGTGATTTCAATAAAATACAATAATATGAATATAAATTTCTTGTACAAAAAGGATAAATACAATTTACTTATTCAAATCACAATTATTTTTGTCGTTTTTAGGATATGAAGAACGAAAGCATCGAAGAGCCTGAACAAAAACAGGTAGAGCCCGTAGTTCCGTGTATACTAATATCAATTGATGAGATAGACGAGAAAGGAAACATTATTAGCAGTAAAATCATCGAAACCCAAGAGACGAAGGTATTACCTTTATCTGCTGGAGCTCCGTTAGTTATAACGTAATAGTGACGCAGGAGTTCATTAAGATAAAAGCTAGTTTCATTCACTCGTTTGGTTTGCAAAATATAATTTATTATTTTCCAGTTTTTGACATTCACTCCATTAAATAACTAGAGCTAGGAATTCAAAACCAGCTATTACGTGAAAAAACACAAATGATAAAAAGACAATGTAAAACTTTATTACTATCTTGGACTTTTAAGAGTAAGGACGTGTAAAAAAATACAGCTTTCGTAATAAATAACGTTATTACAATTAAGATTTTTTCCTCGATAAATATACACAAATTTAAAGCTTATTCAACACATATTAGCAGAAAACTGCCGCTGCGTCGATAATTAAAAATTATCCTCTGCATCGCAATCTAGAATATAAGATTAAAATAAATATGACAGTTGGAAAAAAAGTCTCAAAAGATTCACAGTTTTGAAGAACTAGAGTCAGAGTGAGTTTTTATTCAACTTTTTGTCGTATTCACTTGCGTTTCTTGCATTTTGTTCTTCCTCTTCGTCTTCGAGTAGTTGTCGTTCGTGCGGCATCTGCTTTTTTCGAAGACCTTGACAACGGGTAATGAATTATCAAATTAGTTTTATATTGGACACATAAATTTATGTTTGTCTTTTACTAAAAACCGAGCTGACCTGTGTACTCTGTTGACCGATACCGTAGGCTGTTTTTTCAGTTGCAAGTGTTGCTGTACCAATTCAGCAAGTTTTCCTTGTTGAGCCAGCATCGACAAAAACGTACAAATGAATTCGTCGTAATTGTGAGTCCTTCTGCAGTCGTCGATCTACAAAATTTACAAACGATTAATTTTCAATTCGGTTTCGTCAGTTATATAACTAAAGACTATACCTTATATTTTGTCCGCTTATCGTTTTCATCTTTCAAAGTTGCTTCGCAAATACTGATTTCATGTTCCAAGTTTTTCAGTAATGCTAGCAAATCTTTTGGAACAAAAGTGTGTGGTTCTATTTCTATCTTTTCGACCTTCTTTTCTTCAGTAACTGTATCGCCGTTACTCGTTTTGACTCTTGCATGAGGGATCCGCGCCTCTCCTGATAAACACACCTTTTTATTTGCCGGTGTACTTTCGGACAGCATTCTCTTACCGTTTATGTTTATGTTACTCAAAGATCGACCTAAAGACAGGAAAAAAGGCATTATTTATCGAGCAAAAGTAATTGTAAAATTTGTTAACTTCTGCTAAAGGAAAAAAATTTACTTAGTCCGTTTTCTGTTTTTTCGTCTGCTGCCACCTTTATCACGACAAACTTTTTAAACTCTTTGGATGATGTCGGACTCATTTGTCCTGAATTCCAACCCCAGCCTGTATAAAGAGAAAAAAAAATTGTATAAAATTTTTTCTGTGTGCGCTGTTTATGTAACTGTTCATAAAGATAAAGTAAGAAATAAAAAAAAAAAAACCTATTTCGGATGAAGTATCGGTGCTGGATGAGCTATGAGCAGGCGACGTTTGAATTTGAAGGGGAGTCGCGTAATCAAGAGCACAGACGTTTACGACTTTTTCTGCAATAGTAGCAATACTGCAACAATAAAATACATACAAGTATTTACTGTGCGAGATTGCTACTCGATTGTATAACGTAACATATGACGTAGCGATTCCTACCTCGTTGAAGGCTTTGGCACTTCTTCGTTATCACTTTTAACATCTTTAACGCGCTTGTCTACATTTGTCTGTCCGAGCATTGTATTTGTACTTTCGATTTCTGATTTCATTTCGACGTCGTTAATTTCCTCCAAGGTCTTTTCTTTTTTTTCACCTGTTTTTTCTACTTTTTCATCATCAGTACTGTTATTACCACTACTACTACAACTACTGCTATTACTACTGCTACTACTATTGCTAGTGCTATTACTGCTGCTACTGCTACGACTACTATTACCTCTGTTCGTACTATTTTTCTTATTGTCATTAGCAGTATTGTTATCATTACCGCCACTTTTGCTGCTTTCCGATTTATTTTGTATTGTTAATTTAACAAGTTGCTGCAAAGCTTCTAGGACTATTTGTCTGTTTGTTTTCAACATGGCAAGCTTGTGAGAAATGGCAAGTCTCCTGTCAGGCACGACAGCCATCAAGTTAAATCTAATATCTTGTAACTGCTCTCCAGTAGAAATTCCCAAACGATCGGTTATGACTCTTTTGAATTGTTCGGTCCATTCCTCATCTTCTTTCCAAGGACCATGATCTACAGGATAGGGCTTGAGACCATCAAGTTCAAAGAGCTTTCCATTTATAGGTACATAGCTGACAAAATGAAAAGCTTCTCCAGTAAACCGACCACTGGATACAGACGTATTTTTTTCCTGCCTCCTTTTGGCTTGAGGCATCGCGTGAGAATTGTGAGCACACGCCAATTCTGGTGTATTTCCAATGGCCCAGCCTTTATTTTCCGGAGACATACCAGTAGTGTGCTGTTTCAGGCGCGTAAGAGTATTGCCTAGATGAATATTTGGACAGTTGAGTAGGACAGAGAGTAAAGCATGCGTCGCACAACTGTTTGGCACAACCTGTGATGAATATAGAATTTGGATTTAGAACTCTATTCAATGCGTGACTAATGCTGTAGTTGAATTACATTTTTATATACCTGTTGTGCAAAAAACATATTGTTGACAACATCCTCATCTTTGATAAAACTCTCGTCTTGTTCGACAACTTTGCGCCTTGATCTTCTTTCCTCTATCCATCGAAATAAAAATATAAATCCATACACAGGACCCTCGAGTGATTTCTGAAGATCATAAATTTCTTCAACTTGAACGCCCTTAACACCAAAATCTTCGAGAAGAAGCGTAAAGAGTCCTATATGGCAGTAAAATATACATTTATGATGATTTTGTGTGCCAAGTAAACCCATGTGAACATAATATACAATTATATAAACGCGAATAGACAATGTGCATGAGGACACTTAAAATCTTGCATCGTGCATACACTTACATGATTTTTGGTGAACCTTCATTGTAACATTGACAAAGTTTTTCTTACTTAAAACCACAAAAATCTTATTGAACATATTATGTACCTGGATCACTTTCAAGCTCCAACCATCCCTCTGTTAATCTGTTGATGTCAACTGGCATTTTGTCATTCTATACCATTGTTACAACTAGAAACAATTAATATTTGCCACCAAAATTTTTTAATCCTCAAAGTTTTGCGTCATTCTTCAAGTTGGTATGTTTTGATATAGTCTTGAGGCTGCAGCGTTAGCAGCAACCCATCAACTGCGTCGTCCTCGTCCTTTAGCTATTTCCTCTTCAAAAGCACCGTCATGTTGCGTTTTAAAACAAAAATAGCCCTCTGCTCTTTGCAACTTTTGCAAGCTGAAGTATAATTTATTCCTATATTTCGCACGAATAGAATCACATAACTTATAAACAGCTCACACAGTGGGACACATTAAACTGAACTGGACACAACATACAACACATACAACAGCTTTGTAATACGTGTGTGTGTGGATGTAGAGTTGACTACATTGGAACTTGGAACATTAGGTTCGTTTGGGGCTTAGCTTGGAGCAGTTCGGAGCTCCTCCGAACTTTGCCCCAAAACACACGGTTTTGCTCCGACTGCTCCGAGTCACATAAATATTTACATCTTGGCCAAGACCGTAAATATAGGTGTACTGACTGTATAGGAATTTGCTCGGAGCAAAACGCGTGTGTTTTGGGGCAAAGTTCGGAGGAGCTCCGAGCAGCTCCAAGCTAAGCCCCAAACGAACCTATATTGGGGGCAGTCCCTACACTGTGTAGTGGTATCAATATCGGTCATATAAACAAAGCTGAAATCCAAAATAAATTAATTGTACGCTTCGTCTGCGCATATCCCCTAAATTAATCTGCTTTCCATTGAATTATACGTTATTTGGCTTCAGATGATAGGTACAGAGTTATACTTATGAATTCTCATATTCGTAAAAGAAACTAACGAAGCAACAGCTGCATATATATATATATATATTCCTCTCTGTCTCTCTCATGCAGCCCTTGCACTCCTCGCAGTCCTCGCACGGCAAAAGTTTAATAGTAAGTTTGTAATATGTACAACGACGTGCGTGGGTGCGTATGAGATGAGAGGAGGGGGGGTTGGGTACGGCCACGGCCATGACGGGAGACGGGACTGACGGGCGTCGTGTGTGTGCTGCGTACTTGCGTATGTAGTAGGCGCGTAGGCCCTATACTCCTATATACATACATTTGGCATTACGTTAAAATATAAATAAGTATGTGGTGAGCGTGAATACTGTACGTATGGGGTAGCTAATTCAGATATTATAAAATATAATATAATTTGGTACATTTATATTCAGCGAGATTTAGAAGGACAATTGAGATTTCCTTACTAATTCGTACGTGCGAGACGTTCCAATTGCAGTCGCGAGAATATTTATGTAGAAACAAATACCTAGAATGTTAAAAGCGTAGTCGGGTGTTGTACTTGTGGTATACATTTATCATTGTGTGGTGAGCGTGCCTGAACCCAGTAGTGTGTAGTGTGTAGTGTGCGTAGTGTGGCCAGTAGCCAGTACCCACTGTACCCAGTATAGTAGTCAGTACCTATACTTATATGTCGATGCTGCTCTCTCTGCAGAGAGAGTCTGTCTTATTGCTCTGTAATTGAGTATGCGGGAGGTGGGGGAAAACTTGATTGAGAAAGAAGAGAAAAAAAAAAAAAAGAAAGAAAAGACCCGCAAAGTCCCTTATAGAGCAGAAGTGAAGCTGCAGTAGCAGTTGTGCCTTGAGCTGATTTGATTCAAGGTACCTATATTTGTAAGATCAGCTTGATCTTGATGTGTCTAATTAATAGCATATTTTTTTTATTTTATAAGTACCACTGTTTTCACGAACATTTGAATAGCCAAAAACAATAATTCAACAAGTTTTTGATTATCGCACTTTTACGTATACTTACTTACGGCATATATTTTAAGTCGGGGACATGTGCATCAGCAGCATTGCCTTATACATTAGGTGACTGATATATTATTTGTTAGCACGTATAGTCACGTACTCTCTTCTAATAAGTATATAGGTACCTTATAATATACTTAGTTAATAAGATAGACATCCCAGAATCATGTCTTGGGCAAACGAGAAAACAAATTATTCATCCACGTATAAACTGGTCGTCGTTGGTGGCGGAGGAGTCGGCAAATCTGCCATTACAATACAATTTATTCAAGTAAGTCCCACGTCTTATTCATGAATAATTTTCTTTTCCCTGTCCATCATCATTCGTCTATTTTTGTACCTCTCATTTATTGGTGTATGAATCATATGTGCATAATATACTTGCACCTTTGCTCAAATTAGTTTTCATTAACTACAACGATAATCTCCATTTTTTATTTTCTGTTTGATTGATTTAAGAGTTATTTTGTAACCGATTATGATCCCACGATTGAGGATTCTTATACGAAACAGTGCGTGATCGACGATGTCCCGGCAAAACTCGACAGTGAGTTTTTCATGTTAACAAAAAAAAAATTAAATGTCAACATTTGAAATAAAAACTGACGATTTGACACATTTTAGTACTGGATACCGCTGGCCAAGAGGAGTTCAGTGCCATGCGAGAACAGTACATGAGGAGCGGGGAAGGATTTCTGTTGGTATTTTCAGTCACGGACCATTCAACGTTCGAAGATATGTTTAAATTCCACAGGCAAATTCTACGAGTCAAAGACCGCGACGAATTCCCTATGCTGATGGTTGGCAATAAAGCCGATCTCGATCAACAGCGAGCGGTAAGCGATCGAGGGCCCTTATTTTTCTTACGCTTTTAATAAAACAGCAAAAAGACTTGCCAAATTTAAATCGTTAATCGTTCAAGGTTTCCGTCGAAGAAGCTCAGAATCTCGCCCGACAGCTGAAAATCCCCTACATTGAATGCAGTGCCAAAATACGTATGAACGTCGACCAAGCTTTTCACGAACTCGTTCGCATCGTAAGAAAATTTCAGCTATCGGAGAGACCACTTTCTAAGCCCAATTATAAGAAAAACAAAAAAAAGTGCTGTGTTTTATAAGTTAATTGTACCACCGGGTTACAATGTTCACCGCATTTCGAAAAGTCAGCGAGGTTTTGGGGCGATGAACATTTACATCGTGTTATTATTAATCCGCACAAACAATTCAAGACTAAAACTATATTAAGCGAAACAATTTGTTTGCATACGATGGATATTTTAAATGAAGCCGAGCTTCCAAACATTGCGACTTTTTTTTTTTTTTTTTTTTTTTTTTTCTTCCTACGTAAAAACAACATCGATCCTGTTGTTGATTATAATGAAAAGTAGTCAACAATGGGTTAATTGATGTCTCCGTGAAACAATTTTGTACATCGAACGTGCCTATTGAAAGAGGGTCCGCATCAGCAGACACTTGCAGAGCACTTCTTTAAGGGAAATACCTACATTTGAATAGGTAACACAAATTTCAAAGGCGTGAATCGATAGATTTTTAACTTTTTTATATCTTCCAATGGTGCCTTCTTTTTTACAAAAAGCCTTTTTTCGCGGGAAAAAATTAATCGGTATCTTAAAAAGCTATCAAAACTCTTAAAAAATATTTTTATCAAGTTACGAATTGGAATAGAAAAGGATCGGTGAATAACATGAAAATAACGAATAACAGCTTTCAACTTTTTACTCGTTTTTCGTTGTGAAGAAGGAGCCTAAAAAAAAACAATAAAGATGATATAAAATCCATTAAATTGTGTGATGAAAACATTTTTTAATTTACACTTTCCTTCAATCAGTAGCGAATTGCAGTGCCTGCTGTCCCACTTTCAATGAACGTGTTCATTTGTAAGTGTTTACAAGATGCTGTCGCAAAAATACATAAAACCACACAATTTTAATACTGCTTGTTTAGATAATGGAGTATTTATAATTTTAACTTTGACGTTTGATTTTAAATTTTGATAGGTTCATCGTTACGTTTAGTCGACCAGAACAGTCAACAAATCATCGTTATTCCATGCATACAACGTATTTGTAAAAAGTAAGCTAAATCAGTAAATTTCAATTTATTTTTGATATAGCATACAAGGAAGAAAAGAGAGAGAAAATTGAAGGATGTACACTAACACTCAATCAAATTGTATTACGATTCATAGAAAAATACAGGTATACAATTGTAAAAAAAGATCAGACTTTTTGTAAAAGACCATATTTTAATATAAATTAAATTCATTTGAATAATATAAACTAAATTCATTTGAATGTTCTCAAGAAAATGTAACAAAAATCATTACACATATTTACAAAGAAAAAAATAAAAAATATTAAAAATAAATGTCAACAGGCACACTCAATTGATTTTTTAATTCAATCGGGTTATTGGCCACTGGCTTCTAAATCCATATCTGACCAAACAGCCTCCGTTTCGCTTTCATCTACCGCATCGTCATTATCAGTGTCAGGTAGACCTTCGCCTACTTCATACGAAGGATCCGTATGCTCTTCACCAACAGTCATGTAATACGAAGAAGACTCTATAGTATTGGAATTTCCTTCCAATCTATGCATGCCCTCCAACACTCTTCTGTCGCTAGGGTTAATACTTGAAAGAAAACATTTTTTTAATTACATTTAACATTTGCTCATGCATAAAATAAAAATTCACATACTTTAACGCAATAGCATAATGATCTAAAGCTTTTTCCGCGTTGTGTAGCCTTGCCCACAAATCACCAAGCATTTGATGTAATTTGCACGTCGGTTGTGTGTCAACTTGCTTTTCGAGGAGTTCTATAGCAGCTTCCAAGTTCATTTCTTGTTCGTAAATTTCTGCTAAATAATAGACTGCGGGCAAGTAAGTATCTTCTTGACTCAGAGCTTTTTCAAGCAAATTTTTTGCTTTTCCTACAGTAACAGGATCTCGCATCAGGACTGAAGCATACAACTGAAATTAAAAATACCCATGTTAGTAGTTTTAAAATTCAAATTAATAAATTAGTTTTTCTACCGTTAAAACTCGTGATGTGGATCCAAGTTGTTTGTGAGCGCCACTAGCTATATTTGAAGCTTCTCTCAAGCGATGCATCCCCACAAAACAATCGACCAATCCTTTGTGAGCTTCGTATCGGTAAGGTTTTAACTGCATGGCTTGACGAAAATGATTCAATGCGTCCGAGTATTTTTTTTGTTCTATGAGAATATTGCCTCTGAGAATGATTGCTTCGACGTTTCGTGGGCATATAATTATAGCCTGGTTAGCAATAGTGTTGGCTCGATTTAGTTTACGGAGGGCAAACAAAGCATAAGCCAGTGCTGTGTAAGCCTCCGCTGAGCGCTCGCTCATCGTAGATATTAATGGAATCAGTTTTTCCAATTCTACAGTGTGGTGAGTTCGATGCAGCACAGCTGCATATGTGTCAAGACTGCAATAAAGTTAAAATCTGTGAATCTGGATGTACGCCTCAACATTAACTTTTCTGTCATTAAATTTTTACCCTTTAGTTGAATCTGGCTCGACCGCTCTTGCTCGTCTCAGACACATCAGGGCATTTTTGTAATCTCCCGAATAATAGTAACATTTTCCCATGATTACTAAAAGATTGTAATTGTCTCTCAAACAATTAATACTGTCCAAAGATCGCAAAGTAGTCACCGCGTGATTGTATTCTCTGTTATTTATGTGAGCATGAGCCTTTATCCACGCATTGAGCCATTCAAAACTGGTTAAATTTAAATTACAACTCATAATTATTGAATTGACTTCAATGCCTTTCACTCCCAATGCAAGTAAACCTTCCGCAGCCTCAAGTGCCAAAGGACACTCTCTTAAAACTTCTTTGTACGTTGCTATAGCCGATCTTTCCATACCCTGCTCTTGAAACATCCTTGCCAGAGCCATATTGACCTAAAAGATAGAGAAAATAATAAAGTAATGTGTATAAGTTATTTTTTAAGTTAAAAAAATAATATTGCATCATCACTGTAATTAATTAACCTTTGCAGTTCTCAGTTTACCAGGAATACTTTGCAGTATTTGGAGTGCCTCCTGATGGTTTTTCAATTTCATTAGGCAGGCATAAATTTGGTATTTTATGTCTACATCTGATACGATCTCCTTTCGGCCTTCCAAATTTAATTTTGCGGAAGAGCCCTTGGATTTTAACAAACATTTTCGTACTTGTAGTGATTTTTTGTAAAGTGACTCCGCCCTTTTGAATTTGCCCAGATAAAAGTGTGAATCTGCACAATAAACGTAAACGAGAAACTTTGTGCAGGCTGGCAAGATTTCGTTGTTGTGATCGCTGAGAGACAAAACTAAATTTGCCTGCACATGTTTTGAAAAAAATTCTTCTTTTTATCATTAGAAGCACTCAATGACCTGGTAAGGTGAAATTCAGAAAAAGTACGACTTACCAAAGATATAACGTTCGAATACAGAGCTTGATCGTAAAGGTGTTGAATTTGATCGAAAAATCCCGACATAGTTCAAAGTTCAAGCAGAAAGTATATTCACACACAACTAACGGAGCATTTACACTATGTATACAAACAATCGTCGTTAAAAGAGATAAAAGAGTTGAACGAATTTACTTAATTAATTACAATTGAATTACACTTTGTTAATATGTGTATATATAATCCACTATCCTTGTCGTCTGCAATGCATTGTGTGTAGTGTGTGTGATGCCTTTCTCTCTCTCTCAGCCTCTCCCTCTCCCGCCCTTTCCTTGTCTGTATATATATATATTTATATTGAGGCTATAATATATTTATACTTCAAAAATAAGGTTCATTACGATCATAACAGATCAGTTCAATTCCGTCTTGTGCACAGTTGGTTCTTGAATTAAAATGAAAAATAAAAAAGACTATTCTCGAACTAGAAATAAGTAATTAAGTAGGTATAGAACTAACTTTGTCCGTTGACTCGGGAGAAACAATATTATAAGATTTTTTTGGTGTTTTAATTTGAGAAATGGAGTAAACCGAAGTAAAAGTAATTTCGCAATAAACCTATAAACTATAAATTATTTTGTATTTGTACGCGCGCGCGCACTCTTCAGAAATGGCAAAAATGCGTGTTATTTCAAATGGGGTGACGTCACGTTGTGATTGTCTTCGTTGGCGTGTTATCTATATTCTATAGGCGCCATAATTTGAACACAAAGAAGAAAAAATCTAGAAGATGTATACCTAAGAAATTTTTGAACCTAATAAATTATATTGAATATTTATCATTATATATAAAGATACGATTTTACATCCAACTAAACATTACAAACTATACAGTTTCACTCGTTTTCACTAATAAATATTTTGCGGTGCTTTACGTTTTGTCGTCTGCATGTTGTAGATATCAAAACAATTGGTATATATATACTTATACTCTTTCTGCTCCGACAGCCAACAGCTGATTGTCGATGCAATGTATCGATGAGCCCCAGCCGGCCCAGCCGTCCAGTCCATCAGTATAGTTTTCTTCATCATTAGTAGCGTAAGGATGCACCAACGAAAAATCTCAGTTAATACTTACCAGAAACCTAATATAGTAAGTTACAAGTTTCATGTACAAATATATATATTGTCATTCTATACCATTGTTACAANTATACAATATAAGTAGGCTGTGAATTTTGTTTCAATTATATCATCGTTAATGCATATATGAATCACACACAAGTATCAGCGACATTTTTCATGCCATACAACCAACAATAGATTTAATTTATCAATTAAATTCAATGAATTATCCATGTATATTGATAGTTAAATAACCTACATACATACTTAGTTGCATTAAACTTTGATCATTTGTTGTTTCAGACATATGATACATTCAACAATAGCAAGTATCTTTAATGACTACTTCAGAAGTTTGTGCTGCAATTTGTGAACATTGAAGAAATAATTATTACTTTCAATAGGCATCATGGTGAAGTATTTTGAAAGCAGTACAATTTTTTATTTTTCTTGGGAACAAGTTGCTCAAGGGTTTTGGCGTAGATATCCAAATCCTAACAGGTATTTGACAACAATTTAAAAAACAGTTTTTATATATAAATTACATTCAATATTGAAAATTATAATTATTTTTCTTGCAGCTCACACGTTCTTAGCGAAGATACAATTTTAAGAGAAATTAAGGATGGCAAACTATACTCAAAAAGATTGTTGACTAAAACCAATCGAGTCCCCAAGTGGGGTGAAAGATTCATTAACAAAAATAACAATGTAAAGATTCTCGAAGAAAGTATAGTTGACCCCAAAGAAAAAGTTCTCGTCACGTATACTAGAAATTTAGGTTTCACGAAAGTTATGGTAGTCAAAATTTACAAACTTTTCTTGAAATTTATCTAATTGAGGGTTATTTGATTGGCAAATGATTGTCCTTGCTTTTATTTCAGAACGTCGTTGAAAAAGTAGTCTACAAGGTCTCTCATGACAATCCACAGTGGACTGTGGCTAAAAGGTCAGCATGGATAGAAAGCTCAGTTTTTGGTTTCAGCCGAGCCATTCAGGCTTTTGGTCTTGACAGGTTCAAAAAAAATTGCATGCAAATGTCAATGGGCTTCAATCACGTACTGTCACTCATGTTTCCTACCTCTCTGCACTTTGCAAACTCAGACTTTACACAAATTGGCATTCCTAATAAGGTATGAAGTAAACTCATTAGTTTGCTTTTTTCGTGTAAACGTAACAAAATATATTTTATTTTAAGATGGATGAAAGCTCAATGATAAGGCTTACTCATGCAGCTGAAGATTTCCAACACTCTTTGCAAGACAAAGCCGAGAAAGTAAAAGATGCTGCCAAGAAAGCAAGCGATCTTGCGAAACAAAAAGCTGGTCCGATTTATGCAACTAACCAATAATTATAATTTTTTGACGCGTTTTAACATCATCTAATTGGAAAAATTGTTGTTGCATTCCTTCAAACTGCCAAACGAAATTTTTAAAATTCTTTTTTCTCTCTAGATCCTAGTACAGCAAGTTTGCCAACATATGTATATGCTGTATTTCACGCGTGTATCAAACATTTTGAATTCTCTAATGTATGTTAGATTTTTCACAATGATTGTTCGTAAGATAATAACGTCATGAATAAAAAAACCATTAAATACATGTAACATCAAATAAAGGATAAAAAGAGGATGAAGAGTCGATTTAAAAACGATTATTTGTTATAAAATTATTAATGTATATAAGTGATAATTTACGATCGACATTAAATTTATCAAGAACATAATGTATAGTTTGTTAGAATAGTTTTAATCACAATAAATCAACATTTTAGTGTGGAATTGCACCAATCTACTTAATTGCTTACAGCATTATTCTTAGCTTGTATATTACATATAAAATACATTTCCAAGCGAACGAAAATTATTCGAGTACGTACCTACAAACTACTCGTGAGCAGGAAAAATAATTAAAATGTATGTGGTTGTTTAGTGATAAGCTGCGCAAGGTGAATCGATAAACTTGAGGCCAAGAAGATACGTAAAGTTGCTCGAATTAGTTTATAAATGAGGGTCATCAATTTAGGCACGCGCCACAGGTTGGAAGTAGTTGTTAACATTCAAATGTTGAAAAATTAAACGAATCGTTTCAACTAGGCGACGAACCACTCGAGCGGACATGTTGAGTTTCATAAAATACTTGCTGCTCCTGATTGTTTTGCAAAATGTCACCGGCAACGTGTTACCTTCCGTAAATTTTTTGTCATCCGCTCCCAAAGGTATATTATTATCATCATCATTTTGTATATTATATTAAAGTTGTAATTGCATTACGTACGTGTGTAATTTCCATGAAAAGTGGCTCCGGAGGGCACAGTCGTTGAAATGGAAAGGTCAATGCAGCCTCTGTTCGAGTTATCCTTGCTGTTTTTGGACAGCGTTTTGCGAGTTGCAAGAAAAAAATCTCTTCCCTGTACCGTCGCCTCGTGGATACCTCTAAAGGGCTCTTGTACTTCTGTTTGAAAAAAATATTCAATAATAAATACACATCAATTTACTTACATGTAAATTCTATAAAAAAAATAAATAATTTATACATCTGTAATGTCAGGCGAGGTCGATTGAATTTAATCATTACAATTAATTCAATGCGATTGCATAAGTATAATATATGCGCGTCAATTATTTCCGATAAGGCTGAATATAGTTGAACGAAAAACAGTGCGCTTTCATTCACTGAAATTAAGTCACTACTTTTCAGCAGTACGGATTAGTTTTTTTTTGTTTTTGTTTTTGTTTTTTTTTTTTTTTTTTTTTTTTTTTTTTTTTTTT